AGACACTGCTTTCAATTAATAATGAAAAAAGGAGCAAGAATCAAATTCATGAACCAAAAAAAGTTCAGAAGAATTGGAACAACAAAGATGTAGCTTATACAAAGCTCTTATGCTCTAACAAAAATTCTGAACAACCGTATTCTAGAATGAATTTACCAATCCAAGTGCAAAAATACATCTAAAACATCAGCTAAGCTCCATTGCAAATGATAATAATAAATTATTAATTTTAGCGACTAAAAAAACTCCAGTTGTAGCTTGCTATTTTGAGTCTGATTCTTCGTTCTTTTAGGCATGATCAATATCAACCTCAGAAGTTCATGATTTAACACACTAATAATTCAGGTTCAAAAGCCTCCAGTCTAGCTCGATTAAAACTTTTAAAAATGAAAATTCACTATAATCATGCTGTCTGAAATTTTCAGAAAATGGGTGATAAAATTGCTATATTCCTTATTAAATTTTCAGTTATTTCTCTGTTATTGACCAGAGCAATGGCTGACCAGATGCCGATATTTTAATAAAAATTATATGTCGACTTAGTCGTAAAGCAGCCAATATCATAAATCCTCCTGCAGGTCGATCTTTTTGCATTACACAAAGATTTGATTGCTGCCACTAGCATGAAGCAGTCCTACAAACAAAATCTCACTATTATCAACGAATATTTCCCTCGTCAAACCCTTAAAGTCCTGTCGAACAGGGATATTTGATTAACAGAACCGGACTATTAGTCCAATTTTCCCACCAAAACTTGATTCAATGACCATTCCCCACAAGCCAATGTTACCATTGTACACAACACACTCCCCGCGTTGCCAAATCTCCGTCAACATCACCAACGCTCTCAGAAATTAGAGATCTGATATCATAAGATGAGGATTAAGCTTGTACCTAGCTAACAAACCTGAGCAATTCGATTATTAATCAAGCCCCATGCTACATTCACTAACAATGCCTCGTTCATCTTTAAAATTCACATCTGTTAAATGCTCTTCCTTCTGAGTTTTACCATGAACAAATAAATAGAAAATTAAATTTTAAGAGGGTAAAAAGGAGGGGAGGGAACGAAGAGGTGATAACAACATGGTAGCAACTGGCTAAGTAAGGTATTGGCCATTTGGGAATTACATTGTGTTAGAAACTCTATTTTTCTTTATGGTTTGTTTTCGTTAATCCAATGGATATAATTGATTTCATTGATCTAATGGCTCTTATTATCTGACTGAACCATCCAGTCGACTAAACTGTAGCCGCTTTCTATATATATATATATATATAATATCTTGAGAAAACAAAGAGCTGTTAAAATGTTATGGATAGGAAGAAATAAAAAAGTTGCAAAAATAAGAATCAGGTCAAAATTCGACTCCCTGATGAGTTTAGAAAATTCCTAAATAATTGTTCGTCAATACAGGCCTTAATTTAAAATTCGTCAACCAAACATCAAATTAAAAGTTGAATTATTGCATTCTCCCGTTCTAAAACCTACCAAACAAAGAAACTTTTAATGAATGATGTAATAAGTGGTGTAGGATTATGATGGGGGAGATCTTTTGCCTTAAATTAAAAAGTTTGGACCTACATCATTTAAAAAAAAAGGTTTGGACCTAAATTCATTTAAAGGTCAAGGATATCAATATTAATTTCTGTTTATCTGATATTCATGTTTTCATTGTGACATTTGGTATCATCAGATTCCATACAGGACAATTTTATTCTGTTTTGGTTTTGGTACGTTGGAAATTATTAGTCTGCGTTTGCTCAGCAGTATATTTATATTGCATTATTTATTTGAAAGATAGGAATGTCGTAAAAAACCAAAATTGAAGATCAATGATCAACATTTTCATACATGCATGTTGGAAAAGTACCGATATCTATTGCAATCTAAAAATCATACTGTATTTTCCCCTTATTTGAGAGTATTACAAAGAAAAACCTATGGCATTCTTAATTCAACAACATAAGAAACAAAACTAAATCGTACAAGATCGAGAATTAATTACCGATTTTCTCTTAATTAAGACACAAGGAATCTTATATGTATTAAAGAAAATTTAGATTAATTAAAAACAATAAAGTAATCTATTAATATCTCTTCTCAAGATCAGGAAACTTCAAATCCCACAACCTTTGATGGAGAACAATGAATTCTTGATGCAGATCATGAAGTTCGACCCCCCAAGTTTTGCATATCTTGAGTATATACATTCTGACTACTCTCAAAGGTTCGGTGCGACTCGCTTCATGCATGTATTTTCTAGTCTCTGTAAGCATCCTTTGCTTCACTTCTATCATGGCTTGCAATTCTACAAGTCTTTCATTGATCCGAGTCTCTTCGTCAGCCATAATATATAATCTGCTTGATTATATTAATAATAATAATAATAATATTGACCAATTAATCAAAAACCTCCTGCCAAAATCCATCAAACAAAATAAAAAAAAAAAGTGTTAGTGTCACAACGAAATAATATAATAAAAAATCTTGTTTTAAACGTAGTACAGTATACTCATAATCCATGTTTAAGTTTTTGAGAGATTTGTACTGGAGACAGACGGGAGTATATAGATATAAGTTATTCGCACTCTTGAAAATTGAAATCAAAGTAATAGATCAAACCCCAATGCCGGCCAGATGAAAAAATAAAATTGTTTGAAATCTCACATATTCACCATATTGGCAATTATTTGTGTTTTGGAGAATTTCCCCAAAAAAGGGGGACATTTCCATTTGAATTTTATTATTGTGAATATACACAAGTATTAATTACTGTATAAGTAAGAACTTATCGAAAATTTTGCTGGAGGAAAGAAAAGAAAAGTAAAAGTATTTTGTTGATATCTCTGATACGGTGAATATTAGTGATAATTAGGTCGTGTCTTGTTTTCTCAAAAAATACACCACTTTTTTCCCTTAGCCCTCTAGTTTCCTGCGAAATTATCAGCTCAATAACTAAACGATTCTCATGATTTAAAATGCCATAATGCTGTTAGAGAAGTTGTGCTGCCCTTGCCAAATCATTGGTGCAAACTTGCAAAATAAAGCGTGAGTCGCACCCACTTTTGCTTCTTAAAAATAAATAAATAAAATTATAATACTACTATTATTTTAAGCGTAAACTTCAAAACTCAATTTACTTTATTTTAGTATTATCTCAAAAATAAGGGGTTACGTTATAAAACGAATATTTATTCTTATTTGCTTGGTGCATGCAAAATGTGGATGCTACAGTGCGATAGAAGTCTGTTTGTTTCATTTTTTTTTTTCAGATTATTTAACTAATAATTGTCCCATCCAAACATATCATTTTATATTTTCAATATATTTTCTTACATTTTTAATAGAAAAACACCTAAAACCCCACACTAAAAAACGAAACAAATCCCCCTCAAAGTCGGTGGAACCCCAACGTCTTCGGAGTCTGGGAGGCCTAAAATGAAAAAGATCCACACAAATTTGTTATGGAAAAAAGGTGAGCGATATTAGAGATACATCATCTCTTAAATTTGACTATCGACTCTAACATTATTATCTCACGGTGCTATAGTAGTAATTATTATTATCATCATCAAGTAGCTAGAGAATCATCCATTGTAAATAATTATCTTTGAGATTTTTATCCGGTGTTGCATTATGCTTAATGTATAATTCATGTACTATTAGTTGCCCTGTCCGCCCTAAAACAACAACGCGTGCACAGAAGTTTTATTAAGAGATTGATTTTTATTAAGAAAATGCTAAACAAAAGTGGAACCATCTAAATTCATTAACCCATGCCTGGTTTTGATTTGATAACGAGCAAGCTAAATTAATTGATTTTATAAATTTATTTCTTGTTATATGTGAATCAACAACCATGGTCATTTGTGGTATCACCAAAATATGGGGTTGTCTTTTAATTAGGAGTGTGTACGGATTGGTTCAAACCAGTCAATCCGAACGCGATTTAATTTTTGGATCGATTTTAAAGCTTGATTTTTTTTAAAATCGGTGGTTTCAAAATTTAGAAACTGGAAGGAACAATTTGGTTCACGGTTTCATGTTCAAAATTCGTAGACTAAATCGGATCGGACCGTTTTTAGTATTTATTATATATATTATATATTTTTAAATTCATATATATATAGAAAGGTGCAATATTGATCACAAGTGTGACATAGAGACTTGATTAATTCAATGTCATGTCCTTGTTTCGATTCCCTTAAACCTCTCTTTTTGGGTTGTTTTTCTACATTTTTTAATATTTTTTTTTTCAGATTTCAAAAGCTATCCTCTTGCGTTTTTTTCCCTTCTTTTTTACATTATTTTTTTGTTGCCTCTCAAAAATTTTTCCAACGTTTTCTTTTTAACATTTTTTTTGACTTTCAAAAGTTAAAGCGTAATTATTGGAATTCTTGTTTTTTAAACTATAAAATCAAAACATACCTAAACTAAATAAGAACTTTAAGAGATTCAGAGTTGTTGATCGTTAGTTTTTTGTATATGTTGAATTGAAATTGGTAGAAAAGGCTATGTTTTTTTTGGTTGCAAATTAAAAAAAAAACTTTATTTTTTGCCAAAAAAAAAAACAAAAGGCCCAGATTTTGACATAGAAAAATAAGGAAAAAAAAAAGCCTAAAATGAGAGCAAAACTGTGAAATCGTAAAAACTAAACCATTATTTACGCATTGGTTTGGTCCGATTTCTAAATGCAGACAGTTTGGTTTTTTATTAAAAATTTTTCAAACCGTTCTAATGATTTAATTTATAGTTTAGATTAAAATCGGACCAGTCGACCGTGCACACCGGCGCACCGCAGAAAAAAGAGTTATCTTTCACTAGGATGCGCCAAGAACTAAATATCGCCCAAAGCTTCAGCAAAACCAATCAAAATCCAATTCTCACTTAAATCTATTAGATTTCCACTCCATTTTTTTCCTCATAATTCTCAACAAACGAATCCAATCGAGGAGCCATTTCGGACCCAGAAAAGGAACCTGTAAATCATTGTAAAATGGGGAGCACAAGTGCTAGTGCCCTCATCCATAATCTTCACCTGAACAACACCAACTACTATTTCAGATGCTTAAATTCTAAAGGAATTCCCAGAACTTCGTTTCTTATCAACCAACGGAAACCCGCCAAGTTGAAGTTTCTAAGTAGCAAAGAGTGCAGGAAATTCGGCAGAGTTGTTTGCTGTGCTGCTGAAGAAGATGAAGCTCAAAAACAACGGGAATTCAGTGGTGGTGTTGGCTCAGCAGTTGAAGATAGGCCTGGTGAAGGTAACCTTTTTTCAGCTAAGTTTTCTGCGTTTTTGCACTGAAATTATTGATGGGTTTTCGGGTTTATTTTGGATTAGTAGCTTCGTTGTTTTAAGGGTTGCTGCAACAAGGATGACATTTAAGTCATCATATCTTTTTTTTGGGATATTTGTGTTTGGTGTTCCTTTTATTTGAATTTGATTTTGTGGTGACTCACTTGTTATGAAAGATTGAATTTTGTTGTTATTGTTTGGATATCTGTTTAGTAATTTGGTGAGGTGGTGTAGTATATAGTCTTTTGTTCAGTTCATCTTATAGGTTCCCTGTGGAATTGAACTTAATCTTAGTGGTTATTGAATCTCTTGCAACTTACTTTAGGATTTGCACAAGATAATTGAAATTCGGAAAGGAGTTTCATGAAACCTACTTTTTATCATTTGTGGCAAAACTTAAATGCTAAATCATTCATGATGGTTGGAAAATGAAGAATGTCAACATGCTGAGAAAATTTGTTTGTCTTTGTGCTCTGATTTCTTGCTAAAGCTTCATTATGTTAGGTTTCTATTTATTTTCTTTTCATTTTCACATGACATTATTACAAAGTTGATCAGACCGTCTTATGTGATTCCATCTTCTTTTGCTAATCAGCATGACCTATGCTTGAAAAAGAAATTTGGATTGAATGAAGCATAAGAAATATGATGTAATTTGGTTAATGCTTAAGATGATGTGTGAGTCATTCAAACAACATTTTGCATGTGCATATAGTAGCTTTCCTCTTGTTCTTTGTTTTTGTTACTTTTTACGAGTCTTGCAGTTATTTTGTCTTCAACTGGTTATCGTATCCAAACTGGAATTTGGTGGAATGAAAGAGGAAAGATTTAGGTTTTATTGGTTTTAACTAAACCTGTCACTCATTTTCCTTTACACGGTCTACTATTTCATTCATCTGTAAAGTTGAGGTGATAGTTTACTTTCCCAGTTTTGCAGTAATGCTAAGAAAGCTGTCATTCTTTCTCTGTTACTTGGAGAACTCCATTAAAAGCTTCTTTTCAACTTTACCTATTGTCTTCCTTTATAGCTTTGATTTTTCCACTCTTTCCTGGCTGTATATTCAAACTCTAGCTGAAGTATCTGGTGGCAAAATTGTTACTGAACTCTAGATTTTAATGATGTTTCAGAAGAAAATCCGTTTCTGAATAATGAAGCTGATGATGAAAGCAGTCCTCTTTACAATTTTCTTTATCCAAGTAAAGACCTTCTCCCGGATGATAAAGAAATGACCATATTTGATCATTTGGAGGAGTTGCGAGAGCGAATTTTTGTCTCAGTTTTGGCTGTTGGAGCTGCTATTTTAGGTTGTTTTGCATATTCAAAGGATCTCATAGTTCTTCTTGAAGCTCCTGTTAGAGAGCAGGGTGTTCGTTTTCTCCAACTAGCCCCTGGAGAATTTTTCTTTACCACATTAAAGGTGTGAACCTGATTAGAATTCGAGTGTTTTATACATGAGTTATATACACTGAAAGTAACTGTATCACTCTGATGCAGGTTTCTGGTTATTGTGGCCTCCTTTTAGGAAGCCCGGTAATTCTCTATGAGATCATTGCCTTTGTTGTACCTGGTTTAACACGGGCAGAAAGACGATTCCTAGGTCCAATTGTACTAGGATCCTCCGTGCTCTTCTATTCAGGCATTGTGTTCTCCTATCTCGTTCTCACTCCAGCAGCCTTGAATTTCTTCGTTACTTATGCTGAAGGAGTTGTGGAATCACTGTGGTCTATTGATCAATACTTTGAGTTTGTCCTTGTTCTAATGTTCAGCACTGGTTTGTCTTTCCAGGTAAAAGTATCTCATTCAGTCCCTTCCGTTTGCGTATCTGAATTTCCTTGTGACACTGTCTTTTAACCAGTCTTTCTGCAATTCTGCTTTTCAAACATTTATTGCTTAAGCAAAAGGTTCTTTGAATTATGTAGTGAATAACCAATGCTTCTATACACCATAGAAGTCAATTTGTGTATGGCGTACAATAATACAGAGTATGGTGTGTTTTCCATGCAATATCAAAAGGAAACACTTGCATTTTATCTGTTAGTGAAAAGAATTAAAAATATCTGTTTCAGCAATATGACGTCAATCCTTCTTCTTAATTAGGTCCCAGTCATTCAATTGTTGCTTGGGCAACTTGGTTTAGTATCAAGTGAGCAGATGCTCTCAATTTGGCGCTACGTTGTGGTTGGAGCTGTAGTTGCTGCTGCAGTGCTCACACCATCAACAGATCCTCTTACTCAAATGCTTTTGGCAGGGCCCCTTTTAGGCCTTTACCTAGGTGGTGCATGGATGGTGAAGCTAACTGGGCGATGAATTGGTAGCAATGACTCTGTTCATGGACAGAGTTTGAAAGCCCAGTAATCAGAGCTATTGTGCATATATCTTGTAACACGGTATTAATGTCAGATTCATTTTTCTAGCTGCAGTTGCACAGTTCTGTATAACATGACAATATGATAACATAATGATTGTATATGAAGGAAAAACACCGAGTTTTCTGAAGCGGAGTATAATTAGAATTCCATATCGCCATAAACACAAAATGTGCACCAAATGATGTATAAAGATTTTTTGCCCCCGAGAATGATGTTCTCACCCAGAGAGTTGGAAGATTGTTGCCCATTTTCTAAAATAATAAAAATTTGAAGATTGAAAATGCAACTTTCAGGATATCACTTCAAGTTTCAATAACCTTAAATAACTACAAAGAGAAGGTTGACAACTACTACATATAGTTCTTCGTCTCCATCATCTTCCAAAAGTGGTGGCTGTACGTAGTTTCTTTAGGATTCAATACCATCCGTGATGTTTACATGCCCCAAAGTTACACATCTCACTGTCAGTTAAAAAGTTCTATATATTAATAAAAGGATTAAACTCTACGGAGATCTTCTAATTAAGGTTGCAAATCTACACACCAAGGCTCTCAATATGAGACACTAAATCAATAGCATTGGAGCATCCTAATTCAAGATCTAACTGTCTCATCAAACTCTTCAGATTAGTGCATGCTTGGACAAAATCTTCAGAAGAGCCTCCAATTTGTTCCAAACCCACTTGAATTTCATCGATAGTGGCAGAGATTTTTCCTAAAGCCGTTTTCATGACAGGGATTTCCTGTGGGGGGTAGAGACAAGCTCCAAGCTCCTCAATTTGTGTTTCAACATGTTGACAGAACTTGACCAGTCTTTCCAGAGAGTCAACAGAATTAACCAAAGCTCCTTGTGTTTCCTGCTTCAGCAATCCTACAATGGAGCGAATAAGCTTATTTATTACCACAAGGATTTCAGAGACGACGACAGAAGTCGCCTGAGCAATCTTCATATCTTCAGGTGAAAGGTCATTCCCCAAGTCATCAGCATCAACATCAGCGTCACTCTCTTGCATGCCGTCTCCTTCACCAGGGGCCTCATCGTTAATTTCCTCACGGGGATCAGAGGAAGCTTCCTTCAACTCTTTCATTTCACGAAGAACATCCTTGATTGAGACAGTAACCTGTGTCATTGCTCGTCCTATTGCAGTGACATTGGTTGATGGGGTCTTCTTAAGAGCAGAACAAGATTCCCAGACTGAACCAACCAACTCTGGAATTGGAAGAGTATGTTTTCCACTGAGAGATCCTGAATGCAACAGTTCAAATGGGGCCATATTAACTACAGCGAGATTAATGTCACTGTGCACACACACACAGAGACACACAATCAAGATCCTCACATCAACCAAATTACATGAGAGGCACACAAACCATGTGGAATTCGTTAATATAAGCAGCAAGATAAGTTTGAAATATATACATAATGATGATAAGTCATCCACAAAAATTGCAATTCTTCCTTCCAAAAGAAAGCTTCTCCAAATTGTAACCTTAAATTTGTATTTCCCTTTCTTTTAGATCCGGAAGTAACATAGTAGTCGTAATTCAGGAAGTATACATTATCTATCATGGACAATACCGTGGTGCGTTTCCATTCAATGCAATTCTTTAATAATAAAAGAAAGTCAGCCATATAATTTCTTTTCTGATACTTTCTTTTGTGTAAGATAAGAAGCAACAAAATTATTCAAATATATGAGCTAAAACTCCAGAGGCGCACAGCCTTATCAAACATTAACAAGTGCAGCAAAAATGAGTACATTGATAAAAAAACAAAAACTGCATATTGATGTTGACAGTGACTACCACACAGCCCAGAGATGAAAATGGAGCAAAGAGCAAGAGGATAGGAAAATTACCAAAAGACGAAACTGACTCTTTCATCAGAGTGAAACTTCTATCAACAACTTGCTTTGCTGATGTGTGAATGCAAGAAGCAAGGGTGGGTCCTGCGCCCACAGTACTTCCATGAGCAAGCAAAAGGAAACCCTGAAGTGTATTGAAGAATGAGGCCATTATTTCTTCCAGGGATTTTACTTGTGGTTTTTCTCCAGTCCAAAGCATTCCCACTGCCATGCAGATTAAGAAAAAATCAGACACTGTAAATATTGATTACAGAGAAACAACTTTCCCTTCTTGGATGTAAAAAAGAACTTGTTGAGATACCCATCGATTTTTATAGGATTCATCTCAATATCTTCAAATGAGCTTGGGAACAACCGTTCGTAAGCAGATTGAAATGTTATCAGATGATCATATCGCAGTCACTACCAGCACAGAGTACATAACTTTAAATGGCTTATTTGATTTCACATTGATAGAATCAGATGAACACCGCATTCTTTCTGATTAAACCTCCTTTACATTTAGCAATTTCACCCCTTTCAAACTATGTCAAACATAATATTTTGCCCATTTAAAATACCATAGTAAGGGCAGACTGATTAGCACATTACTCTAATAGTATGCACAACTATCTATCTACCCAACGAACAACCACGCACACCAACCAAAACCATCACAAAGTATATACATTCTTACAAACACCCGAAACAAGATTCTGTCCACGAAGGACAAGTCAACATGAGAGCCCAAAATGGTTCCATAACCCTCAACAGAAAGCCTATATGGCTAATATTCATAATACAAAGCAAAACTAACACACACCATGACCAACAATTATTAGCAAAAATCCGAAAAACCCAGTTCTTAAATTTCAAATTAATGAAGGGCAAAGGAAACACAAAAAGAAGAAAGATGATAAAAGGAAAAGGAAAGAAAGAGGAAGACCCATTGTAGCTTCTCTGGAGAGCTGTTCACCCACTTGAACAACTTGATTCCAGCTCACTTTTTCAAGGGACGAAGCTGCTGTTTGATCCAATACCTGGAGTATAAATCAAACGGTTAAAAATAAAGCCTTTTCAACAATTTTAGTAAGAACGGAGAACAAATAAAAGTCGAACCTGAAGAGTTTCATGAATGGAATTGAGGTAGTCGACCAGAATTCGATTCAAATGTTCTTGCTCTGATGAACTTCCCATCGTATTCTTCTCTCCCAAGAAGCGGATGTTTGGGCAGAGGGTTTATTTCTGGGTTTTAGGCTTTTTTAGGCTTCAGAAATTAGCACCCTTTTATACTCGATTTATAATTAAAAGAAAAAAAAAATCAAATTGACATTTTTTTTACCCTTATTAAAATGAGTAATGATAGGTTTCTCGAAAATTTTAACGCGAAATACGCAGCTTGACTTACTTGTCTAGATCACATGTCCATACCACGTCAGCCTTTCCAATTTTTTACTTAATAATTTTTAAAATTTTTTGTTTAACAGAAATCGCAGTTAGGCTTGGAGCAGTTTCTCTCCTCGGCAATTCAATTCTCCGACCATCGTCACCACCGCACAAAAAATTCCAACTCGACCTCTCAATCTTGATTTTAAGATTTCTGATTAAAGCCGGTTGCTTTATCTTTAAATCCTTCAAAATATCATCAATATATCCTTGGTTTATGATTGTTTTATACAACTCGAACTTATCTGGAAAGTTAGGCGGATCAGAGAAACAAAAGGACGATTAGTACTATTTCTCATTAAACCACCAAATCATCGGGTGATTCAAGCCCCTCTCCGGACAAAGCTCAAGAAGTAATAGCCCAAAAAAGTAAACATCTTTCTTGTAATCATATTCAAACTCTTCAAACTCTTCGCAAGATGATCTGTGGCAATACTGAATCATTTGATTTCATAATAAAGTTAGCCCCTCAGAAGTTTAAAATCTCAACATGGTTCAACGGCAGGATCATCAGGCATGGAAATAGAGCTGGTGAAGTATAAAAAGTGAAATATGGAATTCTTGAAAGGGATTCTAGACATACAAACATAATCGTTAATCATTTGGAGGCCTTAATCAGAATTCTTGAAATTAAGATTTGAGAAGCCGATTTGGAATTCTGGCGGTGGTAGGACGATTGAATTCCTGGAGAGAGGACTGCTCCAGAGCCTAATGCGATTTTAGGTTTTTGTTCTTTTTAATTTATTAAATTAAATAAAAAGAATGGAAAGTTAACCTGGTGTGGACAGGTGGGTTGACAAGTCATTCGAGTTGCGTTTCGCGTTAAAATTTTCGAGAAGCCTATCATTACTCTATTAAAATATATTTATAAATATACAACGTTCGAATTTTTACTCTTTTCAATGTAACTTTTTTTAGTTATAGTATCTAATAATGAAGTTTACTTTTTACTAGTATCTATCTATCTGTCTATCTATCTATCTATTCTATAGTATAGTATATGTATATACATATATATATCTTACTATATTAGAAACAAAAACCACACTTAAAAGAAAGTACCACCATTTGCCATGTGGCATTTCCACATCATATTTTTAAAATTAATTTTTATTTACACCTTTTTCTAGACTTAAAAGTCAAATGCAGTCCAAATCCACCTTCATAAAAAATAAAAAAAAAAACCACGGGTTCATAAAAAATCCAAATTCTCATCCACATCTCCACGACAATTGACTTCATAATCAATCTCTTCTTCACAATTAAAAAAAAAAACAAATTCCTCATCAATCATTAATTAAAAATATGTGGTGAAATAATACTCCTTTCCTATTAGCAAGTTCAATTTTTTCATTGGTGATGATCAACTACATCCTAATCGGATAAAATTTGGACTTCAAAAAATATTCTCTTTACCTCTCTATATAAACACAAAAAAAAAAAAAATTCTCATTGATCTTGCTTCGGCTGTTGTGGTGGTGCCATTACAAGTATTAAAATTTAAATAATTTTATTTCCACAGATCATTTGTTTGGCTTTTATTATTTTTTGTTTTTCCCGTTCAAGAATAGTGTTATTACTATTATTTTTATGCGTCCATCCGTTACAGCTATCGTAGCCGTTGTCAGGTAATATGATGTGATTTCTTATATAGTTAGTTAGACTAGAATTTTTGTATGATTTTAGTTCTCTTTGGATTGAATTGATTAATTGGATTTTTGTTACAAAGTGTGGTTTTTAAAATTTTTTTTTTTATGTTTCATTCAATTAGCGTGGTTTTCTTTTTTTAATTATGGAGTCTTGGTTTTTTTTTTCGTATATGATCAGTTATGAAGTGTGTTTTTTCTTTGTCTAATTACTTTTGATTTTGTTTCATACTCCCAGTTGACCAATTATTATTATTATTATTTTATTTTATTTGCAAATGAAGGGCGTTTTTTTTTTGGGCTTTCAAAAATATACTTTTTTGGATTTAGTTTCTGGACTTTTTTAACTTACTCATCATATAAATAGTTCAGATCGCTTCTTCTAACTAATTTATGGGGAAGCCTTTTATGAATTTGAGGTGGAGAGGGAAGGAATGATGTTTCTACGTTTATTTGTGTTTTTATACATTATTTTTACCTACAGAAAAAAAATAAATTTCTCAATTTTTAATGGGCTATTTTTTGCTTCTTTTTTTTTATTTGCCATGGTGGGGTGAGTTCTTTTTTGCTATAACTTGAAACCTATACAAATTTACATTATTTTCATTCTCATATTTGTGATCAACTAGTTTCAACAATTAACCAGTTTCAAAATCATATTTTTGATATTTTACTACCTATAAACTTTTGGAAGAAATAGTTCTAACAATTAAGCGTATACCCTTTGGAGGAAGCTTAATACAAAACTATTATAAATCTCCAAAACTAAGTATTGATTTGGTACAACCAATGGAGAACATCAATAAATCATCTTACTAATATTTAAACTTATTATGATATTTTTATATTTTGTCTAGCATTTACTTCACGACATATATTTGATCAAGTTTATTTATATTTAAGAAGTAACACTTATAAAACATTTCTAAAATTTTCAAAGATTTCTAAAACGTACCGGGCCAAATAAAATTTCTTTTTATGCCAAATACAAATATTTTTATGATCACACTTATGAAACATTTCTAAATTCTTCAAATATTTTTAAAACATATCGGGGCAAATACAAAATATTTTTTTCCAGATACAAAAATTTTTAAGATCTACAGATATATTGGGCCAGGGTCGCGCATTGCGCGACCAGACATCACTAGTATATATATATATATATATATTTATATATATATATATATTTATATATATATATATTATAAAGGAGAAATCAGAGAGAGAAACTGGTAAATCCGTCCTAGAGTGCTACATAGGAAAAAATCTTATGTGGCATTATTATATGAATTCAAAATAAAAGAAGTTTGTGTTATAACAAATAAAGTCCTCATAAATTTAATTAATACAATTTAAGTATAGTGTAAATTTGTTTATTTTTTTCATATCGTATAAAACATAATATCACCACTAAGATTAAATTTTTTCACAATTTACACAATCTTTAATTTGACGTTACATACAAATTTATATTTTTATTATATTTGTGAGTAGCTCTTATAATTATATTTGTATTTTTATTATATTTGTTCTTATAATTATATTTTTATATTTTTATTATAGTTGTATTTAGATAAATTCCGTATATCGTACGGGTTTAACATCTAGTTAAATTGAAAACAAAAAATATTCAACTCATCCATAGAAAAGATTGAGTGTTGTAAGAAAATTTCATTTCCGTTTTTGTAGTGTAAAAATTGAAGTGAATTTAAACAGGATAAGACAATTTTTATTTTATTTTTTAACGGACTTCAAATTGGTATTTTCACATATTCATTTTAAACTACGTATAATAATGATTTATTTTTTAAAAATAAATTAAAATAAAATTGTAGAGTAGCTTACAAGATATAAATCTGACATATGAATTTACAAAACATGACTAGTTTTTAAGGACTAAGCCAAAAACCCAAAGCAGAACAACAAATCTTTGTTTCAAACTCTTCTAGAACTAAGATTTTGATGTTAACGTTCAAGTTTAGGTTAAGTCCTTGTTCTTTTGTCTCCAGCTTCAAGCAGCCATCAAATTGTAAGTCTGCTTTACACAAACTTTGCTGCCATTCTCCATTTCAGCTCCCAATTTCAACCGAAAATCTCATCTTGTGAAAGAGCTCTTCCACTCTGATTTCTGCTCTTCACAGCAACAGAGTAACTTGAACTTGTTGGCTGAAATTTCATCTTGAAACAATCTTTCTTTTGTGCCTCAATGGCCTGCAAGATGAAGTTTAAGACTCACTGAAGAATGATAACTCAAAAGAGTAAAAGAGGCATGATAATGGAAACATTGTAGACAGAATGCACAAAAGTTTCGACCTGTGGATTGGGTGGTAGAATCATAATCAATATGCCTGATTCACTGAAGTTCATATGACCACCACTCAAGACAACGATTACAATGGAACTCCAAAAGTTATGTGGAAACAATTTGAAATGCTGGAACTTGTGAGCATGGGAGTGATAACACTTTGCATTCGGAAATTTAAAGTTTTCCAAACTGAATCTAAATCAACTTTGTTACATAGCTCAAAACAATGTCATGCAGCACATTCTATAGCTTTACTCAGAGGTTGCAAACAAGGTGTGTAGTAAGTCTATGGATCATAGAATAACAATACAACAAAAACAGATAGTATCACTGAAGGATTGAAATGATTCAGGATAACCACGGCATTACCTACCACATTACTCCATCCAAGCACTTTTGTGGAAGAAGCTTCACTTTTACTGTTAGTGTAACTACACATAACCAAATCTAAAAACATTAATATTAAGCAAGAATTTTCCCAAAAAAAAAAACAATATCGAGCTCGTGAGTATTTCGAATTTTATTATTTCTATATTTTCAATACACGATACATATATTTTCCAATACAAGGTTTCTTTAATGTTTCTATTAGAGGTTTCTGTTCTTTTGATTGGAAGCAAACCAAAACTGTTATTCTAACTCTCCTTCTGTTAAGAAAAGACCATGTCCACTCTTATTCAACAGCAGGTCCTTGTTACTGCCTCCAGCTTCAACCAGCCCATCAAGTTCTTTATCTGTTCTACACAACTTTGCACCCAAGTTCCATTCCAACTGCCAAATGATGAGTTAAGTTCAGTTCTCCTCCGAATGCCAACTGAAACTCTCAAGCCATCAAGAGGCCTTCGTTCTCCCCTTCTACCCTAACTCCTGCCTTCACAGCAACAGAGTCGCTCGAACTTCTTCTATTCATTGTATTAGTTCACTGTCATCTGAACTTTTCTCTTGAAACAATCTTTCTCGCGCCATAGTGGCCTGCGACACGAAGATTAATATTCATGAGAGTCGAAAAGTCAAGAGTAAAAACCATACATGAATGAAGATACTGTAAAAGAAAATGTTTTTTTCCAAATCTCAATGTAGCATTCTAGCTCAAGGGGGTTATAAAGATTATAGGCAGAAAACCTGTTTTTCCCAATTTGTGAATATGGTAATGACGCAAAGCAAGAAACTTTGTATAGTGGCACCAGATAGTATTCCAATCCAAAGACCTTTCCCTCTTAAGTTTGTCATAAAGCCTAACGTGAGGGCAATAGGAATCCCAAAGAGATAAAATGAGGCTAGATTAACATAAGCTCCAACATGCTGCCAGCCACATCCTCTGGCGACTCCTGAAAAAGATAGCGCACTAATAGTCAGACATTCCATCGATGTATAAGACTCATAAAACGAAGAGAAAGAACCCAAACCTGAAAGGGTTCCTTGTAGGCTATCCATTAACACAGACAAGCAAACAAGAGGAGCAATGGTTGTGACATAATCCACAACTTCCTTGTCACTGCTAAAGGCGTATCCAAAGACATGCCGGCTGGCAAATAGGGCTGTATCAACTATCATCACCTCAGCAAGGGCAAGAATCATTACAGTTAGTACAGATACCCGGGCACCTTCCGAGTTCCCTGCCCCTAATGCATTTGAAACTCTAGTGCTGCCAATAAACAAAATTTAAAAATAAAAAATGCAGCGGTTAGTCATTTGCATAGTGTCATCATGACAAGAAGCATTAAGTACAAAACATACCTTACAGCAGCAGCAAGTCCAAATGGCGCTGCATAGAGTGTCGTGAGAATGTTGAGGCTGCTCAGAAAATTAAAGACAATTAAACAAAGTTGTCTAATGAAGATTGACACATTTTTATTTCCCCCATGAGGTTGATAATGGAACATACCAGACAGACAGCACTGAAGTTTCAAGCTGCGGATTCGGCAGAAGGCCTGATGACAAAATGAGAAGTTCATATGACCACCATTCAAGACTGCAATTAGAATGGACCAATAACAACAATCATAAGTTCAACATGTCTGACGAAAGGGCACTATTTACATAAAAAAGAATTTCAAGTTCAATAATATTACCAAACCATGACAGCAGAGGGAATAGCAAAGCGGAAAAATTCTCTGATTCCCTGAAACACTTCCCTTGATAATGGTGCACGGGTCTTTTTGCAGTCAGAAGAGAATTTCATGTAGAGAGCGAGGATAATCACATTTAACCACATGGAGAGGCCCGTAGCTAATGCAGCTCCATGATTGTGTAGTCCAGATTTATACACCAGTGCCCAACATACAGGTATGTGAAAACAAATTGTAACGCAGGAACTTATGAGCATGGGAAAGATCATACTTTGCATTTGGAAATACCGTATGAGGGGTTGCAGGGTTGCAAATCCAAAAAGAGCAGGAATATACCATGTGGCAAACTTTCCCGCTTCATTTGAAATCAAAGGATCTTGTCCAATAAACGTGAGTATTCGTCCCAAGTAAATCCATAAGATTGAGAAAGGGATACAGACAACGATGAGAGAAAAAATTGCAGTATATGTCTGTGTTCCAACTTTTTGATATTGCTGAGCTCCATAAGCTTGTCCACACAGAGTTTCCAAAGCACTTGCCATCCCTAGCTGATTGAACATGACATAGTAACTATGTACTTATAATCATTTTAAGATCATTTCATAATTGCCAAGTAAATAATTATATTATCTTTAAATATACAAGACATTTCAGACTAAATCATACAAAATGCAGTGCATGTACAGAACAAAGTTGACATCTTTCAACACCATTATATTAAGCAAATACTCTAGCTTAATCAGTTACAATTGTGACCATTTATTGAAAAGCCGATGAAATTACCATTGTCACCTGACAGGTAAATCATGTCACTTCAGTGACAAAGTGTTCCATTCTATCTCGTTTACAATAAAGCTATGTACTCTATCTTATTCCCCTTTCTTACTCTGCTAGACTTCACAATTCTCATGAACAGGCCAATGCATTAATGAGGTTGGTCAACCTGAATAATAAATTGACCAGAATTAACCAAAAAGGCCAAATGATTATCATCACTTTGATCATGACCTTAATCATTTTAGTTGAAAAGTAAGCATAGACTCTATTGTACCTTCGTCAAAAGTCATCCCCTATTTTGATGAAGTGAAATTTTCCAAGTTATTTCTTCTACTACATTTCAGTACATTTCTCCTAATGTAGCTATCCATGGAACCATAAATGTATTCTCCGTTGCACATGATTAAGTACCTTCTGCCTTATTAAGGTCCAATTTTGTTCCTGAACTGTATTTCAAGCACATACATTATATGTATAAAGGTGTAGTATATTCCTACAAGCCGCCACCCATATAATTGTCCATCGTCTTCATAATAATTAATGCAAATAAACAGACTGATTGGGCACTATAGGTGTGATAATGCAGTTAAACAGGCTGATTGGGCACTATAGGTGTGATGTAGACTATAACAACAAACTGTACTTTGAGACAGGATAAAACACTTGAATATAATATGTTCACTCTTCTCTTCCTATCCTCCAATTATGTGCAAAAACTTGTATAAAAAAAGAATTTTAAAAAAAAAACCATATTGAAAGAGATTGGTTTCATGGAAATGAATTCCGTGGTGGCCCTCATTCATTGGAGTAGTTGCTGAATTGTCAATTTTGTCATCATGTTAGATGAGTGTTAAAATCAAACACATCCTCCTGATCATTTTTGGACCAACAAGTAGTAAAAATTTTGACCAACCCCCCAAAAAAAAAAAAAAGCCTGAACTATTGTAATCAATTTAGTGCTTGAAATTTGATCAAATCACATCATGGCCATTGTACTTCTTACTTCAATATATAATCACTATAGAATCATAAGATCTGCAAATTGATCTTTAAAAAAGGAAGCATAAACTTCAAAGCAGACTTGAATCTGTTGCAAATAATTGAGGTCAACCAGAAACAGGGGGAAGGGACAGAGGAAAAAAGAAAAGAAAAACTCACAATAAGACTGAAGCCTGTAACACCACAGAGGGAAACAGCTATGGCGGTGCTGGAAAGTGAAAGTTCACCCAAATGGCCAACCATCATTAAGGATATAACTTGAAGCAAGAACTGGGATAAAGTTACAGCCACCATAGGTCCGGCTATGTAGCACAAACTCTTGGCCTCTGCAACTATAACTCCCCATGTTACCCTTTCTCTCTTCACTTCCCTCTCTTTCAGCAGCAACCCTTCTTCCATTTTCGCTTTTTCTGTGTAATATTGTTGAATTTTAGAACTGGCTCAACTCCAAACTCCAAAGCCTAACCAGCCCTTGTCCAAGAGAATGATTGTTCCCTTGGGGTGTGTGTAGGGGTTAAGAGAGAAATAGGGAGAGATATAGACAAATAAGACAAGGAGACTATATGATTTTTCTTATATATATATAAAGATTTTCATGCAATACGACAAGGTGTGGCAATTTTTAACCTTTTTCTTCATAGACTTCATAGAAAAAATTTTGAGGGGCTCAGGAAGCATGTGACCCGAGAAAACAGAAAACAATTCGAATCTTTTGAGATTGAGGATTTGGGTCAGGAAAAATGAATACTTTGTGGTTAAATTATCTTCGAATTTACAATCGTTGAGACATAGTTTCATCTAAAATCAAATAGTGCAAGAACTCTACTGGGTTTGCAGTAATTTTTCTTTCATGGTGATCTCCCAAGATCTTCTCTTTGGGAATGGATGATCACCGAAGTTAAATGATCAAAATTTCTCTTAAATGATCAAAATTCAAACATACACATGACACTGGTAAACAATCAACATGGCTCACATTGACCTTGTCTTATACTCTTTCGCTGTCTAAATTTTTTATTAACTGGTGTAGTTTCTTCGTTGCCTTTGGTCAAATGGATCATGCTTAATTAGCTGAAATGTTATATTCAAGTGGGAACCACTATCCATTTAAATATTGCAATTTTACTACTAAAAAAACTACTATCCCTTAAACTATTTGATCAAAAGACTCCATCTTTATTACTTTATATTCATGGAAGATTGTTGTTTGGTAAAACAAGGGAAATGGGAACATTTGAATCGAGTTCTCGAGGCCCTTTGCTGCAGAGACAGGAAAGAAGCCATGGAAATGATACTGGGGTACCTGAACGAGGTTTTTGTACTGGGGTGATGATTGAAGAAGTTAAAAGGCAGCTAGGACTAGCATTGCCTTTGATTGCAGTCAGCTTTCTTCAATATTGTTTACAGATCATTTCAATCATGTTCGTTGGCCATCTTGGGGAATTGCCTCTTTCGAGTGCTTCCATGGCTACTTCTTTTGCTTCGGTCACTGGCTTCAGTGTATTGGTAATGTCTACTTCTCTGCAATTTATCATTGATAAAATGACTCCAGAAAAACCATTTCTTTAATGGATGAAAATTAAATCTTAAAAGTCTCTAACTTTGCTTCCAAATATGCTGAAAGCTAGACATGAAAACTGAGATTTAATTATCTTTGTGTATTCTATATTGGTATTAAGGCACAATTTTTCTATAAATTATCAGATTTGTCTTCGTTGTGACTAGTACTTAGTTATCCTGATAGTTAGGTATGGGAAGTGCGCTGGAAACGTTATGTGGCCAAGCTTATGGAGCCAAACAGTACCATATGCTTGGTATTTATACTCAGAGAGGAATGTTAGTTCTACTGCTCCTAAGCATTTTACTTGCATTTGTTTGGTTCTACACCGACAAGATTCTCATGGCATTTGGCCAACAAGAGGATATATCCATAGAAGCTGGAAAGTTCAATCGAACAATGATCCCTGGCCTTTTCGCCTATGCCCTCCTTCAATGTGCCAACAGATTTTTACAGACACAAAATATTGTCTATCCTATGATGATAACCTCTGGAATTACAGCTTTATTTCACATTTTCTTGTGCTGGCTTATGGTGTTCAAAGTTGGATTAGGAATCAGAGGAGCTGCTATAGCAAATGCAGCCTCATATTGGATTAATGTGCTTTTGTTAACAGTTTACATCAAGTTTTCTCCAGCCTGCGCTCGTACTTGGACAGGCTTCTCAAGAGATGCTTTGCATGATATCATCAGTTTTCTAAAGCTTGCAATTCCTTCAGCAATTATGATTTGGCAAGTCTGGTCCTACTCTTATGTTGGTGAATATCAAGAAATAGGAAAACAAAAAAGAATTAAGAGTTCAGAAAAAAGAAAAGAAAGCTCAAAATACTGCAAAGCTTGAGGGATTAGAACTGAAGGGTTTAATTTGTTAAATAAAAATCAACAATTCAAGATTTGGAAAATGAAACATTTTATCATTGATCAGTCTATTTGACCTGTCACCTTTCTTTGTGTGACATGAATAGATCGTGAATCGATTGCTATAATTTAATTTGACTATGTATATCCATGTTCCTTGAATCACAGTTTCGAATACTGGTCATTTGAGATGGTTGTTCTGCTCTCCGGTCTTCTGCCAAATCCAAAATTAGAGACATCAGTCTTATCTATTAGGTATGCCTCTTCTAAAACCAAATCAGACCAGTTGAAAGCTATTGTAATGTTACCTCAAGAATTGACTGTTCATGATAATGAATTTTTGAACCACTTTTGTCATTCGTTTATTTTACAGCCTCAACACATGCTGGATGGTCTATATGATCTCCGTTGGTCTTGGCGCAGCAATAAGGTTGCTTAAAACCAGATCTAGATCTTTGATGACTGGAATGTATTCCCATATTGTACCAAAAGCACAATAGATACAGAATCAGTATCAAACGAACTTCAGGCTAAATGTTTATTTTTGTGTCAATGTTGTAGCACAAGAGTTTCGAATGAACTGGGAGCTGGAAATGCAGAAGGTGCGCGCCTAGCATTATGCGTGGTTGTTGTAATAGCAGTGGCAGAAGGTGCAATCATAGGCACAGTAACAATCTTGGCCAGAAATATATGGGGAAAGCTCTACAGCAATGAAGAAGAAGTGGTTAAATATGTTGCTAAAATGTTGCCTCTGCTTGCTTTATCTGACTTCTTGGATGGATTCCAATGTGTATTGTCAGGTCAAGAAATTCTCTTATGAACTCACAATTTTACTGTAGAAAGGATCAGATGCCCCCTTTTCACTCTCTATGTGCTGCTGATTTCAGGTGCCGCGAGAGGATGTGGATGGCAAAACCTCTGTGCTTCTATCAACCTTGGGGCATATTATGTCATCGCAATACCTTCTGCTGTTCTCTTTGCTTTCTTCTTTCGCATAGGAGGAATGGTAAATTTTAAACCTCCCCAACTCATTCCACTCATCATATCTGTGTGTGAAAATTTTGACACCAACACTCTTATATCACACCAGGGACTTTGGATGGGGATTATTTGTGGGCTATCAGTTCAAGTTGTGGCGCTTGTAACAGTGAACCTGTGCACCAACTGGGATAATGAGGTTAGTGGCTGTTTAGCATGTTTTACAATTTACTGTTAGCCTACAGACAATTTCATATGGGATTTGTCAATCACAAAAAAAAAAAAAAAAAAAAAAGGCCAGCAAGAAAACTCTGATCTAGGGACTGTTGAAATTGAACGAAAATCGCTTCAGAAATGAAAAATGAAGCTAAAATAGAGATGATTGTCTATAACCACATAATTTTGAGTAAAAAGAGAAGTTATGCAGTAGTTGTTCTTCATGTCACCATCAGAAAGATGGATGGCCAGTAGGTACTTCATATAGTTGGCAGGATACTGCATACTATACTTTCAACTTCTCTTGATATCTTCCATGAAGCCCTGAAAATGGAACATCCCTCCAAGTTTACATTCCAAGCATCAGCTTTGATCAAATCATAAGTTGGGCTACTCTTACCTTTCGATCCAATTTTCTTTTCTCTGTAAACAGCAATAGAAATCCCCACTAAAACAGGCAGCACATTAGCCTTTTCTTTTCCTATATGTGACTACTTGATTTCATCAATCTATTTTCCCTTTTTGACTTGTTGCAGGCACAAAAAGCCATAGACAGAGTTCGATGTTTCAGGGCGAATGAAGAGATCACAAGAATCAGCGACTAGGAGTAACAAACTCAAGAAAAGAACTGATACCAGTACAGTTATCAGTAGATGGAAAGTCTAAAAAAGCGTATAGAAATTGCACAGGACCAATATCTAGCTATGCAAATGTACTAGATCTCCAGGAGGGTATCCTCTACAATGTTTGAGAGATGATCTTCTTCAATTCACGAATAAAATTATGAGTTTAACTATTCCATAAATTGAAGATAAGTGAAAGATTTTCTCATTCCACTCAGTTCACCTTTCCAAGTCTTTTGGTATTTGGGTGCAGACCCTCATCCTGCAGCTAACTCTTGTGCAGTAAGTTCTTAAGAGTCCAATCAGATCGACAGTTTGGGGTGAGAATTTTATTAGAAAAAGGCATTTGGTACCATTGTGTTTGCTCTTGATGTATATTAGGGAAAAGAAAAAAAGGAAAAACTGAAAATAAGAATGCGGTTATAAAATGGGGTAAAAATAGTAGGGAACCATCAGCTGAATTGGTAAATATAGGAGACAAGTGTAGTGTTTTTCTTTTAAAGCTTTTCCCCTCCATCTAACAAAAATAGTTGACATTGTACATTGTGAATTGTGCTATTTTTAGTACACTTCACAATTTACAGCATGGACTATTTTTGTGGGACGGAGGGAGTATATTTACAGCCAGATGAAGAAGCTGAAATAAGATCTCGAATTTGTAGAAAAATCATACCACGCTTGGAAGTACGAAAAGGGGCTCGTTTTTTGTTTAGGCATTTAAATACCGCCTTTCTATATGCTGTACTGTTCAGTGAGAAGATTTCACGGTGATTTCTGGGAAGTTATAATCAGAACTGATGCATCCATCTGACTTGTCTGCCCCATTTGAAGTCGAAGAATTTGCAGCAAGTGATGGAGAATATGAAGACTCATTTGCCAGATCACATGGCTGATGTATTGAGTTAAAAAGACATGTAGTCTCTTTTAGAACTTATCCTCAGTAACGAAACAAAGATGACTGTCAAACTGAAATCGCAACTCACTTTTGTTTCAGGTGTAGCTGAAATGCTGAATAACAATGCTTAATTTCTTGCTGCGAGCAATAAAAGAAGCTACCAAAATGTCTACATAAAAAATGATACAAAATTGCTACTATCATCGAACACGTCAGGTTCTAATGCATAACGTTGTCTAGCCAAGTCTGAAATTTTCATAAATCAGATTATCCTACTTGCAACCACAACCCAATTAAACACAATCTGATAAAACTCGCTATGATTGTTTAAAAGCCACTAACACTGTCAACAATTACCCCTAGTTGTGAAGATAGCATTGCGCAGATGCTCTTCAGTGAATCAGAGTCGTAGCTAATTCCTTAGATGATGCAATCATTAACACAGAGAAATCAGATAATATATGTGGTTACTGCACTAAAAGTGTCATCAATCTCCTAAATGTATGATTTTTCTTTCGCAAATACGGCCAATGCTCTAACCCATCTACCTCCTAGCTCTTATGAGATATATTTCACCAAACCACCACCCAAGGCTCAACACATTCTAAGAAAAACACTGCACCCGACTAAGTACAAACAAGCGACATGGTTTCACCACTCCATAACCGAAACTTCATATCTACATTAATGACAAGATGGAAATCCTGCTTAAAGCAACAAGTACAGAACCAAATACACATCAACAGAAACACACATTGGAAAGCTCTGAACACAAAAGAGTTCATACCATAAAAGGAAGCATAAGAGTTCAAATAAAATTTGAAAGAAGTAGCTGAAAGCTAATAGAAGTTTCTTTAAGACAAAATGTAGAACTATGTACAAATTTTGAGTACAAACCTAAACATTTGTACTACAATCCGAAGATAGGAACAGCAAGTGTTAGTGGAACCATACGAAGGTGTCCACTTGAGAATCCCTTCATTGACATGACAGGCACCCCGAAACCACCGACATCAAAACCACCAGCTGTTCCCACATATGGATCATACATCATCTCAGGATATTGACCAACAGCACCATTCTGCATCAAATCCAGCTTCTTCATCACTGCTTCATCCACTGCTAGCCCGAACAGCTTGTAGTTGAACGCGCGAAGCGCAAACTGCGCGGCGCCCAAACCCCGTTGATAATTCAGAGCTCGCATTGCAGCAAAGAAACAATCCAGGGTCAATAAACTATCTGACCCGGCCTGATGACTCTGTCCAGCCCTTCTCTTCATGTTCAAATTCTTCGCAACCTTGTCGAGCCCGCATTGCCATCCGAAAGGTTCAAACTTTACAATCTCTTTGAGGTCATAAATCCGATCACCAAGACACCTTGTTACCAACTCCAGAAAATCTGTCAACTTTTCAGGCAAGTGTCTCTGGGTTAGCATCCTGATGAAATAACCAATGTCATAGTTGCAGTGGAAAAAAACCCAATTCACATTCGGATTGAATCTGGAGACGAACGCAGGAGCCAAGCTCCATCTCAACGAAAAACCCAAGTCAGATGAAACGAATTCCCTGGCAAAATCCACCGAACTGATCCCTTCTTGTCGGTTGGTGTGGAAATCAATCCCCTGTTTCTTCAACATGTTAATCGAATCAACATCCCCCAAGTCTCTTTCCAGATCGAAGTCCCTGAAATTGAATTCCCAAATATATGTATTTTTCCCAGACTCGTCTGATACAGTAAGACCAAGTTGGATTAACTTGAGTTCGTTCACGTTCTTCCTCATCAAACCGTAATGTTCTTCCCCACTCATTCTGAAATAGGGCTTCTCTGATTTGTGATAAATTCCAGGGAATTCTGTATCCACAGCAACAAACGAAGTATTGTTCTTCCGTAACACTGAATTTATGTTGCGAAATTCATAGCGCAGATTACTCGAGTTCACCACTCGAACAGTAGGAGGCATTCTTTTTTTTTTCTTTTTTTTTTTTCTTTCTCGTACGTTTTTTAACGCTTTTCATGGGGAAGAGTTAGCGTTTGGCTAGGTTTATATATATAGAGAGAGGAGAAGCCAAATCCTGTTTCCCTAGTATTTTCCAATCGGAAAAAGATTTTCCCCAAAAGATTAGGAAACAAAAGTATTACTCTTGATAGAGTCTCTTAAACCCCATTACTTTTCGACCAAGTTAAGGTTGACCTACAGAAATAGGAAACAACAGGCATGGGGCCCACTTGATGACCACTTTAGTTTTTAAATATTCATCCTTCTACCCAAATATATACCCCTTTAGGCAACCAGGACGACAGGAAGGCGTGATTCCTTAAACAATAATGGTTAGCGCCTCCTGCGTAACTTTTTTGTAAACTGGTCTTCTGAATGAGAAGGCGCAACAGGAATAAAGTGCAAATTTCCGCGCCTCCACTTTAACCAATTTCTCTTTTATTGCTTGGTAAGGGTTTTTTTTTTAAAATTCTTTTTTGGTCCGAAATTCAAATAAGGTCCTAAATTCTATGTAATGTAGCCGCCAGGGAATTACCTCTCAAATTTGTGATTTAACCAAGAGAAAAAACCACCCAACATAAAACAGACAATCTCAGACAATCTATTTTGGAACTGGATAGTTGTTCCTCGAAAGTAAGAAGCAAGACAGACCATGATCATCTTTTTTCTAACTTAAACTTACGCATAAAGGATTTGAAAATTAAATCAAGTAATGAATACTACTACCTCCGTCCCAAAAAAATAGTCCACATTAAATTTTTAAATTTGTACTAAAAATAATACAAAACTCAAAACTCAATGTGGACTATTTTTGTAGAACGGAGGGAGTAATACATTAGGCTGCGCTGTGAATTGTGAATACTGGAAAAGGCAAAGTTTTGCAACATCTTTATGAAGACTTGAAGCAGCTAATTGCAGAATAAACCAAAATTCACTCATTTTCAGTCTGTCTTCATGTGCATTCACTCTTCAGGAACAGGCAACTAATCCTTTTCGTTTCCACTTTGTGATACCTTGATTTCAGTGTCGGCTATTTTTCCTCTTCTGGCTTCTTTGCTGCTACAAAAAAGCTGTGGACATGTAGTCCAACCTCCACATCTGTAAGAGAAATGAATGAATCATTAGAATCAGCAATGAAGTAGTAATGAAAGCAAACATGTAATAATAGTGCAAGCTTTTAACAAGCTTTAAAAGCTTAGACTCCAGAAGACAAGACTAGTGCTCCTTTTCAACAATAGTTACAATATCATGAAATGATGTTCTCTATTTGAAATTAGAAAGGCTGGCATCCATTAAGCTCGTAGAAGTACCTACTGTGAACGAGAAAGGAGACTATGAAGAAGGCATTCATGAACTTACTAGTACCTAAACATCACAATAAAATTTAAACACAAGTCTTACACGATGCTCAATAATACTGATCAATCCGATCCCAGGAAAATGGCTCGATCTTTATTCCAGAATCCAGCCGAAACATTCCCAAAAGATACTGAAGAAGTTATCCCATTTGCCAATTTTGCTGAGAGTTTTGTTCTCTATGTTGCAACAGAAGATGCCTTCCATCAAATGGTCGACTCCTTCAGTCTAATCCTAAATATAATTTCTCCACCATTCATGCATGTAGGATGCATATGTTTTATTATCGACCGCGACAATGGTGTACCTTCATAGTTATACTCGAGCAAATTAATGTTATACACTTTCGACCAAGAACAATTCTCCTTAAGCATCCATATCCCCAAGACTGAAGTATTCTGCATACTTCTCTTGTCTGAAATACACAGTGACTGATCAAAAACCATAAATAAAAGTACATCCTTGTAACTTTTCAATGGCCAACTAGCTGGTCGAGATAAGGTGCTGAATGTATCATTCGCAATGTCAAAGGAAAGGATGAGTTCCTCAGTTGTACGGAGACGATGAAGAGGGGCCCCGTCATCAATCTGCCAATAGATTCTCCCACCACAAGATATAGTTGGAGGTTACACACCACGTGGACATCTCAAGGGCTTCCAAGAAGAAGAACTAATATCAGTATTATCAGAAAGAGTAAAGATCTCACATTGCATTCCCTTATTTTTGGTATCACCTTCTGTCTCAGACCTTTAACCAGGAGCAATGCTATTTGGAAACAAGCGCACCACTTTATATTTCCTTACTTGAGCTGAATACCCAAACCCAAGTCTGGTGCAATATAAACTGGTTGACGGTTTAGGCAAGGCACAAAGTTCACCCGTACTAGGATTGCATAGACAGATGCCCCGGTAAATTGTAAAGCACATAAGATCACATGTTATAGGGCAACTTTCATCATACCTCAATGTGAAGCTGCATAGCTTGCTACGCTCGTGTCTTTGTCCGCAGATTGAATCAAATGACAGAATTGAACTGTATTCATCATTAGGACATACACGAGATGACTCACAGAGAAATTTGATATTCTTCATTGATTGTAGGCGGTGTGTGTTGACAAAGACGGTCAGAAATGACGGAGTGAAATGCTTTTGAGATGCACTTGAGCCTGTGGAGAGTCTTAACATCAAGTCTCGCCAGAATATCAGATACAATGTCAGCATCAAGTTTGAGATTAAAAGGAAGCTCATCTTCGTTCTCTAGTTTCAACTTCTTCATCTTAAAGGTAAGGGAGGCTGTGAAATATGAAGTTGAAAAGGAATAAAAGAACGTTAATTTGGGTTATGAGCCTCTTTAAATCCACGAAGCGAAAAAACTAGATTTCAAAGTATCAGGTCACCAAAAAAAAAGACTATTTGTTAAAAAATTATGAACTGCATGTTTTATTCATATTACCAATCTTACCAAACCCAAAATTGAATTATTCCAGCACCTTAACACACATTATTTAGTTTAGTTTAATTTAGTTGCAGTTCAAGAGCTTCAAATAAACATATCCGTACAGATTAACTAACCAGCCTCCCCCATTGGATACTATATAGCATTCAGGCTGTGAAGAGAGCAAACACTCACACCCATGGAAATCGCAACTTTCAAACTAACAAATTCATACAAGAAAAAGTAATATGGGCAATCACAACATAATCAACACAATAAAAGAGCCAAACATCATCAGTGGGGAAGACCACTTTCTACAAAAGAACAAAAAAGAAAAATCAACTCTTTGAGATAGTCTACATTCAGTTCCACGTGGGGTTAACAGAACAATCTCCATTGACAAGAGCATTCAAAGAACAAAAGCAGTGAGCTCATCCAAGTTTGAATGAAACAGATAGAATGAGACCTCTTTTCAAACCAATTCACACCAAGATACAAACTTTTTACCAAAAATTTGCTGAGGAGAGTGCCAAAACCTCATCATCGGCAATGCACACAAAGTAACATAAATTTCGAGTAAGGAAATTTGCCAAACCACAACAATGTGAAGAAAACTGACATCAATTTGGGGATTCCCGGAATGACCCAGATGCAAATAATGAATAATCTCAACAACAACAACAACAGTAATCACTAAAAGTTACAGATTTTCAAACGGGAAACCTAGCAAATAATGTATCTTGTAAAACCTAAATAGTTTAATTAAAAAAAAAAAAAAACAAACAAACAAACAGATGAATCCATGAAAGACAGAAAGAGGACCCATCTGAAAAAACATTTCGTTAACATAAGAAACCCAGAAAATCAAAAGAAGACTTACATTGACCTTAGAGGGAAAGAGACTCGGTTCCTCTACCGGTCTTCAGTGTTCTAAAGAAATAAAATTAAGCGGCAAAAGTTATAGGGGCTTTTGGCATTTGGGAAATGGGGAGATGTAAAAATCGGGCGGCATTTTTCACCTCGATAACGGGGACAATTGGAAGGCGCGATTCTTTAAGTTTGCGCCTCTTGCGTGACTTTTCTAGTAAAAATGTATTAAGTGAGAAGGCGCGCCACAAATTAAGCCCCAAATTCCGCGCCTCCCATCCAGAAAACCACAATCTGTTTTGGAACTTTCTAGTTGTTTCTTAAAAATTACAATTACTACTCCCTCCATTTCAAAATGTAAGTCCCTTTAAACTCTGACTCTTGAGATAAACTAAAAAAAAATCATTCAACAATTAATTTATACGCTAAATATCTATTTTACCCATCATTAATTGTTTTAAAACTATAACTAAGACTAAATGAAAAGTGGTTAACATCAATTATTGGAGGACAAAGTTGGAAAGTTAACCTTTAATTTGTCTTGAAATTCTAAAACGATCTACATTTTGAAATATTTCTTTAAACCTAAAAAGACCTACATTTTAAAATGGAGGGAGTAACACGCAAGAAAAACAATGATCTTCTTTTTCCGCCAATTTAATAAAGTACTACTAATAGATTAGGTTCTTATATTGATCAAATTTTGAATACAGGAAAAGGCAGACTTTTGCCAAATCTTTTGTGAAATGGCTAATTTCAAAAACGACCCACACAATGTGGTTCACATGAAACAAAGTCCTTTCATTATTCCAGTCAATGTCTTCATGTACATTCACTTTTTTTTTCTGGAACAGGCCACATAATCCATTTGGCTTCCCTTTTATGATACCTTGATTTCTGTCTGGCGGATCTTTCGGCTTGTTTTCAGCTACAAAAAGCTGGGGTAATACAGTCCAAACTCTAATCCTACAGGACAAAGGAATGAATAATGAGAATCAACAATTGAACTCCTGAAAGCAAAACTGTGATTATGGTGCACAGTGATTATGACAAGTCCAATACCAGTAATCAAATTTGTTGAAAGGAACTCCAGAAGCTGGCTGCCGTTCTTTTCAATTACATTAGTACATGATGATTTCTTTACGCAACTAGTAATGCTGGCATGCAATATTCTAGTAGTATCTACTATCAATAACAAGGGAATCAATGAAGAAGTCATTTCTCAACCTAATAGTAGTATTTAAACATCAGAATGAACAAAGAATATAGGAATGGAAGTCTTACACGATATTGACAATACTGGCGAATCAGATCCCAACTAAAAGGCTGTATTTTGATTCCAGAATCCAGCCTAAACAAGCTTTCCCAAAAGATACTAATGGAGCCACTCAAATTGGCACATTTGCTCATAGTTCTGTTCTCAATGATGCATGAGAACATGCCCTCCATCAAATGCTCTAGCCGATCCACCTTAAATACAATTTCTCCACCATTCATGCATATAGGATGCATATGTTTAATTATTGACGGCGTCAATGTCCTACCGTCATAGCTATAGTCGAGCAACTTAATGCTATACACTTTAGTCCAAAAGCAATTCTCCTTGAGCATCCATATATCCAATACCGAAGTATCCTGCATACGTTTCTTGTCTGTAATACAAAGCGACCCATCCAAAACCATGAATACAAGTGACTTCTTATAAGTTTCCAATTCCCAACCAGCAGGTCGAGGTAAAATGCTGAATGTATCATTCGCAATGTCAAACGAGAGGATCAGTTCCTCAGTTCCTCCTGTACTTCTCAAAGTACGAAGAGAGACCTTGTGGTCTATCAACCAGTATATTCTACCTTCACAAGATATAGTTCGAGGGTACACACGACGCGGACATCTCGATGGCTTCCATGAAGAAGAACTGATATTACTATTATCAGAAAGGGTAAAGATCTCACATTGCATTCCCTTATTTTTTGCATCACCTTCCGTCTTAGACCTTTTACCGCGAGCATAGCTATTTGGAAACAAATGCACCACTTTGTATTGCCTTACATGAGCTGAATAGCCAAATCCAAGTCTGGAGTAGGATAAACTAGTTGCCGGTTTAGGCAGAGCACAAATTTCACGTGTACTAGGATTGTAAAGGCAGATACCCTGATAACTTGCAAAGCACACTAGATCACAGGTGATAGGGCAAATATGACTACAAATTAATGTAAAGCTGGACAACTTTCTGAGCTCATGACTTTGCCTGCTGACTGAATAAAATGACAGAATTGAACTGTACTCATCACGACTTACACGAGATGTCGTACACAGAAATTTTATATTCCTCATTGATTGTAGGCGATGTGTGTTGACAAAGACAGGGTCAGAAATAAGGCAGTGAAATTCTTTTGAGACGCACTTGAGCCTGTAAAGAGTCTTAACATCAAGTCTGGCCAGAATTTCAGATACAATGTCAACATCAAGAGTGAGATTAAAAGGAAGCTCCTCTTTGTTATCCGGTTTCATCTTCTTCATCTTAAAGGCAATGGCTGTCAAAGATGAAACCAAAACGAAGAAATGCACGTTAATTTGCATCAACGGCAGATATTATCCACTATGTTAAAAAACTTAAAAGTCAAAGTATCCCCTATCACCAAAAAAGAAAAACAAGTCTACCTGTTCAAAATTAATTAACTGCATATTTTATTCATGTTACTAATCTTATGTAACCTGAAAGCTAATCGTTCCAGAACATTGGAACATTAGTTTAAATTCGTAACTGTTCAGAAGCTTCAACTAAACATGACTGATATATGAAATAATGTCACTAACCAAGGGCATTCAGGATGTGCAAAAAAGAGCAAACCATCCATCCCAATGGAAATTGCAACTTCCAAAAGTAACAACTTCAATGAAGAATAAGTGATTAAAGAATCACAAAAACAAAGATATTCTGCATGCATCATATTTTCCACTTAAAGTCAATACACAGTGGCCTAAAAATCCAACACAACCAAAGATCATACATCATAAACAGTGTAGATCACTTGCTACTGAAAAAAAAAAAGGATGAATTGTATGGTTGAAAGAACAATTTCGATTGACAGGGGCTAACAGAAACAAAATCAGTAAGCTCGTCCATGCAACACAGATTGTAACATCCTCATTTCATACCAAACCAATTGATACCAAATCACAACTTTTTACTTATTATTTTCTTGGGAGAGTACCAAAGCTTCACCATCAGCATTTCACACAGAGAAACATACAAATCTAGTAAAGTAATTGCCTAACCACAACAATGTGGATAAAACTGACATCAACTGGGGAATTCCAGAATGACCCAGAAAGTAATTGATAATGGTAATAACAATAATAATCTCAATAAAAACAATAGTAATAACCAATAATCACTCAAAAAAGTAAGGATCTTTGATAGGAAAACCAAGCAAATCATCCGGGGCATCTTAAAACCTAAACAACATGCAAAACGAAAAATGAATTGGAGAGTTGGAACAGGACCCAGAGGCTAGAATCGGAACACACATAACCCACAAAGTAAGTAATACGAAAAAGGACTTACATTGTGATAAGATGGAAAGAGACTCAATTCCAGTGCTCTGGGTTTGGCAATGGAGAATTGGGAAATTGGGGAATTGGGAAATTGGGAGGTACGTGGGAAACGGCCATTTTTTACCTCCATAACTGGGACGTTATAAAAGGCGTGATTTAAAAACCTTTACAGCTGGCGCCTCTTGCATAGTAGTTGGGATTAAGAAGGCGTCCCCTCGATACACGTGGAACTTCGCGCCTTTGTTCATGTACATTAAAATAAAAGTGGACAAATTTAAATTTTTAAGAATATATGTGCACATATATATATATATATCCTACGGATTTCTGAAATCTGTGTGTTGATTAAAATTAAACCTTCAGATTTTCGAAATCCGAATCTACATATAATATTAAAATAATAATTATATACATTTTGTGGAATTATAGTAAAAAAATCAGAAAATGAATAGTACCATTCGAATTTTGAAAATTCGAATTCCAAAAAAAGAAGGTAAATGGAAGCACGAAATTTTTGAACTCAAATAAGGAGTCCAGGTCCTGGACTACTTAACTAAACAGTTCCATTCGGATTTATAAAATCCGAATTGCTTAATAAATCCGAATTGCTTAAAAAAAAAAAGAGAAAATTGAGACGCGAAATTTTTGAACTTAAATAAGGAGTCTAGGTCCTGGACTCCTTAAATAAACAGTTCCATTCGGATTTACAAAATCCAAATTTATTAAAAAAAAAGTAGAAATTTTTTTAATCCAAAAAGTCAGAATTCCGTAATCCGGATACAGATATTCGGATTTTAGAAATCCGAAAATTTTTAATTTTGATTGGTGGAAGTAGGCATCTACCATAAATTGGAGGACTAAAAAATGGAATAAAAAATCCAGAATTGACCAAACTCGGGATTTCTGAAAGCCGAGCATAAGGTGATTTGGATTTAGAGGATCCGAGTTACTTACAGATTCAGATTTCGGAAATCCGAGTTTAGCGTGCTATAAAAGAAAAAAAAAACCAGACAGTTCTCATTCGAGAACTGAATTGGATTTTCTGTTTTCTGGAGCTCTTGGTTGGTGAATTGGAGCTTTTGATGCAACCTTACTCTTAGATACGTGGGAATCATTATTTAAAAGAGGTTAGATTGCAAAACCATGTTATTTAGTTTAGTTTTGTGTTATTTTGATTGTTAGAATGATGTATGATAGATTAGGGTTTTTGTTTGTTAGTTGTTTGGATATTTTAGGTGTTGATTTTGATGTTAGAGATGATAAATCATAGTTGTTCATGAGATATGGAAGTTGATTTATAAGTATTTTAGAATTTTATAGGTTTTTTGAATTATGAATGGAGTATGTATGGTGTATTTGTTGATTTTGTTATCAAGAAATGAATAGATATTGATTTTTTTTTAAACCATTATCAATGGCATGTAATGTAATATACATGCTTAATTTGTATCATACAAGCAAGTATGTGATAGAAAATGGTAGCATCAACACTTTTTCGAACATGCCGGATGATGGTTTGTTTGTTGAGAAAAGGTTGTCATATGATGAATTGATTAGTAAGATTTGTATGACACTTGGTTGGGATCCCACACACGTGAAACTCTACCTTTCTGTGATTTTTGATAGTCCCGGTGGTAGGCGTGTAATGAAGATCAAGAATGATTCACATGCAGAGTTCACGAACCGTGTAGCTTCATGTTTAGATTTATACATAGATTTGGAAGATATCACTCACGAAAAAAGAGAAGCGAGTTTGGAAAACAACGTGTCATTTGGTGGTTTTCCAAGAGAAGAACGTGCTAGTACTTCTCGAAACCGTGATGAAGAGGAGACATATTTATTTGTACAAGATGACTACATAGAAGAGCCGGATTCCGACTACATAGCTCCAAGCAAAAGCGAAGAAGACAGTGATGTTTCTGCAGAGAGTGATTTTAAAGAAAGTGATTATGAATTATTGAAAAATGAGGAAAGGGATCTTAATCCATTACCCCGACACCGTGTATATAGTAAGATAGGGAAATGGGATGCCTCGTGTGTGGACAAAGATGAGTTTGCTCTTAAGATGTGGGATGAAACCCCCGAAGGAATGGACATTGGTGTTTGTTTCAAATCCCAATCAGAAACAAAGCATGCTGTGAAATTATAGAACATCCATCATAAAAGAGAATATACGGTCGTCGCGAGTAATCCAAAGACGTGGGTTGTGCGGTGCAGAACATTAAATGTGGAAAGTGAGGATGATGAACCACCATGTGAGTGGAAGATGCGTGTGTCTTTGAAAGATCACGGCCTTCATTAAATTGTAAGATGGCATGACGCACATAATTGCATGACTCTCGTGAATGATAATGACAATCGGTGTGTGGACGTGTCTTTGATTGCTAGACTCATCAGGAGAAAGGTTGAGGACAATGTAGATTATACGGTGGCCTCGGCACAGAAAGATGTGAACACCTAATTGAAAGTAGATGTACCATACAAAAGGGCATGGCATGGGAGGAGGAAATCCGAATTGGTAGCTAACTGGGAGTTCCCAGTTTTCAGAAAACAGAGCATATTCGGATTTCGGAAATCCGATTGTATCTAACTTCGGATTTCACGAATCCGTATTTAGCCGAAGAAGTGTTCTGGATTTTCAAAATCCGTATTTATCTGATTTGGATTCCCGTAATCCGAATTTAGCTAAAATTAATTTTCCAACACTTGTATTTTTTTCTTTCCGAAAATTAATATTTTATTAGCATATTCGGATTTAGAAAATCAGTAGTATCATTAATTACACTAATTTCTGTCATTAACTTAATGTCAAATTTACATTACACAAACTGGGATTTCGATAATTCGAATTCTACAGGATTCAGATTTCTAAAATCCGAGTGCAACCCTGATTCGGATTTCAGAAATCCGTGGCATATAGTTTTGTTCACAAAATTTCGGGAAGGTTTATTTTTGTCGAGGTCCTTAATGTGCAAGTATATTTAAGGAAAAAACTCCTACTATTACCTATGTCCTTTGATTAAACTTAATTTTAATTTTAAATTGTGTGTAAATTGTGTGTAAAATATAAATTGTGTGTTTTTAGTACTACAATTTACCAGTTATAATATAAATTATGTACCATTTTCTTTGAAGCAGATACAGTACTTTATAATTAAATTAGAGGAAAAAGTTACATCATTAAGAAAGAAAATTAAAAAATGGACGATCTAGTTTTGCTTAGCTACACGAGTCATTAAGTTATTCATTGCTGAATGTAATTTGTAATAGTATTAATATGAGTGAAATACATGTTTGTGAGATGGAACTGCGAAATGAATACACTGTTTTTTATTATCCAACTTAAATCAATTATATTTTCATTCATTGAGTATAAAAGAAACATTAACAAATATTAGTAGGATTCAATCGTGGCGGTTTCCAACTACTTAATGCAATTCTCGCTTTTTTCTACCCAACAAATAATAATTTAGAAAAATCACCAAACATCTTGTAAAATTGTGATTATATGGGGACTAAAAAGGACTTACCAACTATTAGTAGAGTATTTTTGTGAAATTATATTTCAGGATTTTTATCTTTTATTTCTCTTATAGGATTTTTATTTTTCGCCTTTTAGGGTTTAGGGTTTAGGATTTTAGGGTTTTTTAGGGTTTTAGGGTTTTTTTAGGGTTTAGGGTTTAGGGTTTAGGGTTCAGGGTTTTTAAAGGTTTAGGGTTTAGGATTTTTTATTTTTTCTGTAGCAAATTATGTGATTTGAAAAAATTATAGGGGTAAAATGGTCTAATTCTAAAATATGTGACTTGATAAAGGTTGGTTTTGAAAATAAACATAAAGAAGCGTAGAAGAAGAAGAATACATTTAGCATTTTCACCATCATCTCAGTTGCAATCGCGCTTCTTTCAAAAACCGGTTAGCAGACATTTTCCAGAGATCAAGAAAATAGAGAAACCCACCCAATTCCAAATGACTTCCACTCTTCAAGATTCTGAGATCTCGCCGGAATTTCATCAAGAAACCAACATTCCCAATCTTGATTCCGCCGCTGCTCTTCAACTCATGGCGGCGCTCCAACTCAATCCCGGCTATTCTTCCATCAACTACGGCAACCACCAGGCGCCTGCCACGCCGCAATGCACTAACTGCGCCTTTAACAAAAGGCAATCCCCTTGTGATTTCTCGCCTGAGCAACCCTCTTCCAAGAGGGCTGCCATCCAGCAGCAACCGTCTTCCTCCGCCGGTTCCTCCGGCGACCAGCTCCTCCAAAATGGCTTCACCAAAATCCCACTTCCATCTACTGTTCTGAGCCAAACACTTTCTGCTCCAATTCCCACCAAGAATCTCGATGATCAGATTTCAGATGGTGCTTTGGCCGTTTCTTTGATTCGTAATCCCTTGCCTGAGGAGATTTCTGGGTTCAATTCTACTCCTGTTCCGACGCAGCCGTATCAACAAACTATATACCGTACATACTCTGAACCCATTCCCGAGGATTACCAGGCAGTTGCAACTTCGGCCACGCGCAGACCTCCGGCAGCTGGGAAAGTTACGCGCCGCCCTGGTTTTAGTCTGAAGACAAAAAGTCCTGATACTAAGGTTGTTTCTTGGTTCTTGATACTATCTTATTTTGTTACGATTTCTCTGACCTTTTTCCGGAAGTTCTCTCAATTTTCTTGCTTAATTGAATTACTCAATTAATCTTATCTTGTTAATTTTGCAGAGGTTCAGAAGAATGAAAGAAAGACTTAGAGAAATGAAGAAATGGTGGGATGAGGTCATCAAGGAAGGTGAAGAAGAAGAGGACGCTGATTCTGGAAATAACGATCACTGCCCTCCAAAGGTACCAAATGTAGATCATAATTACTAAGAAAAAAATCACCTCTTTCGTCCAATTTTGTGAATCTCTTTGCTATTTGTTCAAAGTGTTTGATTTGTGTTTCTCTGATCTTTTGATTTTCTTCTGGAAATGTTTTGATGACTTCAATTTTCTTCAAGGATTCAACTTCTTTGACATGAATTATATTTCTACTATATTTCCTTGTCTTCTCGGATTTTGATTCAGTTCTCTGTGTTTGAACAGGATGATACTGAAGCGAGTCAAGGATGTGAAGCTGAAGAAGCTAGTCATGATCAGGAAGCTGTGTGGGTAGAGAGGAAAGGGGAGGTTCTGATTCTGCATTTCAAGTGCCCCTGTAGCAAAGGCTATCAAATTCTTCTCTCCGGGGATAATTGCTACTACAAGCTCTCCACTTTCTGATCTCAGAAAGCATTTTTTGTGATTGATCATATTCATCTTTGTGGTCTAATTTTGGAAGTGTTTCCTAGAATTAGTTTTTCATTTTCTGCAAAGTCCATTCAGTAAGTAGTCTTCCCTGCGTGTTGTTTGTATCCAGAGTTGTTTCTAAAGAATAGGAGTAAGAATAGAGGACTGTTGAGGATATATAGTTTTGTATTCACAATACAGGGGATATTCAGCTGTAAAGTTACAATACTATTCAAATTTATTTCTAATGATAATGCAAAATATTCTGTTGATAATGAGAAAATTTCAGATTTTCTTACTCGTTCATTCTTGCATTTTAAGGAATATCCAGAACAGCTAAGTTTTTTACATGATTATGTCGAATGATCAGGTTGCAGCCTCATTATTTTGGTTGATGTTACAATAACTGTGCTTAGTTAGAAAGCAGGGGATGCTATTGATGAAGAAGCCCAATGCCCCCAGCCTTAAGCATTGGAAAACTCAGGGTTGCTGAGAAATAAATTGATGGAAGGCAAACCTGTAAACTCGAAAGCACGTGTGGTTCATTCCACTGCTTTTTTTCTGGATCCTGGACCAATTATTGGCCTGGGGATAAGAAAACTATAATAGCACAATACTCCAAAGAGAAATTCCAACATGTTTATTCCGATTTCAAATTTTTGTTCTTTCCTTAGCATATATGTAGGTTCTGATTAGAGGACACTCATGATCCCGTCATCATCAAGTTATATTTCAGCCGTAAAAGAGAGCAAAAAGTAGTACTCCAATTACAAACTTCAACTTCTTCTGCATCTTCTATGAAATGGCCCACAAAAAATATAGTTTACACAGCACGAGATCCCTTCACTTTCCAGTTCCTGTGATGTCTTCGTGCACATCCGCTCTTCTCTGGAACAGCCAACTTATAATGCATTTTGCTTCATCTTCGTGATTAACTGCTTGATATCGTCTGTCTTCTCTTTTCGCTTTTCTGGCTTGTTTTCAGCAACAAAAGGCTGTAGATAAGAGTCCAAAGTCATAAGTCTTAGGAGCAATGAACGTGAGAATCAACAGCAAATCAAGTGAAAAGGAAAGGAAAAAATCAAAGAGTGGTGCACACACTGCACGGTAATATGCAAATGGCAAGTCTTCAAATGCTAATGTAAATTTCTCAAAAGGAACTCCAGAAGCATAGATTGCCATTCTTTTCAACTATATTATGAAATGATGCTCTCTTTATGCAACTAGTATTGCTGGCATCCAATGCTCTAGTAGGACGTATGAATAGGAAGGGAGTCACTGAAAGAATGCATTTTGTCAACCTGATCTTTACTATCACAATGATGAAAAGAAACAGAAGACTTACACGATGATTAACACCGATACTGGTCAAACCGATCCCAAGGAAATGGGTGTACTTTTATTCCAGAACCTAGCCGAAACAAGCTTTCCCAGAAGGTACCAATTTTGTCACGGCAATTGGCAATTTTGCTCAGAGTTTTGTTCTCTATGTTGCAAGAGAATGTGACTTTCATCAAATGCTCAATTCGCAAACCCGTCTCAAATAGAATTTCTCCATCATTCATGCATTTTGGATGCATATGCTTGATTATCCATGGAGACAGTATAGTATTGCCATAGCTAAATTCCAGCAAATTGATGCTATAAACTTTTGTCCAAAAACAATTCTCCTTAAGCATCCATATATCTAAAAGTGAAGTATTCTGCATACTTATCTTGTCTATAATACACAGCGACTCATCCATAACCATAAATACAAGTGAAACCAAGATTTCATTCATGGCATCATGCAAAACCTTAGATGGATCCGGGAATTTAAAAAGGACCTTCAGGCTCTATAACCTGAACAAACATTTCATTTACATTAAGGAAACTACACCCAAAGAAAAACACAGTGAGAGAGAGAAAGAGAGGAAATCTTACATTAACAATAGATGGAAAAGCGACCAAAGGTTACACACTGCGGGGACATCTCAAAGGTTTCCAAGAAGAAGAACTAATGTCAGTATTATCTGAAAGGGTAAAGATCTCACATTGCATTCCCTTGCTGTTGGAATCACCTTGAGATGTTTGTATTTACGAATGCCATCATAACTAATTTAGATTTACAAAACATTAATTTTCTTTGGGGTCCTTAGGGTTTATGGTTTGCCATATCGACGCGAATTATCCACAACTCTCAAAGGCTTAACAATATGTTTCCTTCGTGGTTAAGTGGTTAAAGTATTGATCCTAAATTCTTGAGATGTAATATTTCATATTAATAAAGCGACAATGCTAGACCAATCAAGTAGTTGAAGAAAAGGTTAGTTACGCGAGTAGAGTCTGTTTGATAAGTCAACTTAATGCTTAAAATTATTTGATTTATCACTTTTTTTAATTTAACATGTTTGATAACAAAAAATGAAACTCTTATAAAGAATTAAATGGTGTTTAAACTGCAGCATAAAATATAAACAATAAAAGTTAATTTATTATTTATTTCGTAAGTGCTTAATGAATTCACCATTTCTAATTCAGTATTAAATATTCAGAATTAAACACTAATTTTTATCAAAAAAGCTATAAGTGTTTACAACACCGCCACGACATCTACGATTATTGATCGTTTGATAACAAATCCTTATGGTCATATATGTACCACGTATACGTATAGAATTAGAAAAATGATACTCCCCCCTTCTTATAATTATTATCCAGATTGGATTTTTATTTTTAGTACAATTTGAACTAAAATTGAAAATCCAAACTAGACAATAATTTCGGGACGGAAGGAGTATGAATAATATTTTAAGTATAACGAAATGCGGTATGGAAACTGTTTAAAAAATTATATTTTCAAGTTTTGTGTTTTTCATTCATTGTTTAAGATTTTACCCATATGCACTCCATTGTAAAAGATCATCATATGTGATCGTTACATCCGAATAATAATTACTTCACAAAATTTTAATTACCACATCTTGAAAAGGATTTATAGTTAAAAGTGGAATACTTGTGACAATTTAACACAAAATATATATAAAAAAAAACATAAAATTTTAAATTTGTACTCCATCCGTGCCACAAAAATAATCCAGTTTCAAAATGTACAACTCTTTTAATTTAGTCAACCCACCAAAATACAACTCATTTTAAACTAAAACTTTCCACTAATGCCCCTAATTATAAATTATAATCCATATCCACGTCTTAAGAATCAAAACGCAACCGTTGCCGGAAAACACAGAGCAGCCGAAACTTTCTTTTACTTTTCTTCCTTCCACCAGAAAACAATCTGCTGCCAAAATTCTCCCTTTCTTCCCAACCTTTTTTCGGCCGGTTGTTACTCAAGAAATGCATTCATTGCATTACAAGCTTGGAAAGAAGCCATGTTCTGATCCCAATAATTACACTGGCAATTGGGTAGGATCTTATGTGTGTAACTACATTGATGTTTACTGTGCTCCGGTGTTGGACAACCCCAATAATACCACCGTCGCCGGAATCGATCTCAACCACGCCGACATTGCCGGGTACCTCCCGGAGGAGTTGGGACTCCTCACAGATCTTGGTCTTTTCTACATTAATTCCAACAGGTTTTGTGGGATAATTCCAAAGAAGTTCAAGAATTTGAATGTACTGTTTGAATTGGACTTGAGTTAAACCGGTTTGCTGTGGAGAAAAATTGTTCATGGTGATTGTGGGAATGGCAAGGTAGTGGCGGCAACGGCAGCGGCGGTAGTTGGGATATTGGATGATATTTGGGTCGGGTGGTGAATTGGTGGGTTTGTTTTTTTCTTTTTCCATTATTGGTGTCATGAGGATGTTTAAGTTTTATTTATATATATATATATATATCTTACTATATTAGAAACAAAAACCACAATTTAGAGAAACCACTACTATTTGTCATGTGGCATTTCTATATCATATTTTTAAAATAAATTTTTATTTACACATCTCCTAGACTTAAAATGCAAATGCAGTCCAAATCCACCTTCAACTCCTATTTTCGCAAAAAAAAAAAATACGTGTTCATAAAAAACCCAAATCCTCATCCCATTTCCACGACAATCGACTCCCTAATCGATCCCTTCTCCACAATAAAAAAAAAAACAAATTTCTCATCAATCATCACTTGAGAATATGTGGTGAAATATACTCCTTTCCTATTACCATGTTAAATTTTTACATTAATGATGATCAACTACATCCTAATGTGATAAAATTTCAAATTCAAAAAATATTCTCTTTACCTCACTATATAAAACAAAGGAAAAAAAAATTCTCATTGATCTTGCTTCGGCCATTATGGTGGTGCCATTACATGTATTAAAATTTTAATGATTTTATTTCCGCAGATCATTTGTTTGGCTTTTATTATTTTTTGTTTTTCCCGTTCAAGAATAGTGTTATTACTATTATTTTTATGTGTCCATCCGTTATAGCTACCATAGCCGTTGTCAGGTAATATGATGTGATTTCTTATATGATTAGTTAGCCTAGAATTTTTGTATGATTTTAGTTCTGTTTGGATTGAATTGATCAATTGAATTTTTGTTACAAAGTGTGGTTTTTTAAATTTCTTTTTTATGTTTCATTCAATTATACCGGTTTTCTTTTTTTAATTATGGAGTCTCAGGTTTTTTTCGTATATGGTCAGTTATGAAGTGTGTTTTTTTCTTTGTTTAATTACTTTTGTTTTTGTTTCATACTCCCAATTGACCAATTATTATTATTATTTTATTTTATTTACAAATGAAGCGTTTTTTTTTTATGTTTGGCCTTTCAAGCATATACTTTTTTGGATTTGGTTTTTAGACTTTTTTTAGTTCCTCATCATATAAATAGTTCAGGTCGCTTCTTCTAACTAATTTATATGGAAGCTTTTTATGAATTTGAGATGGAGGGGGAAGGAATGATTTTTCTACGTTTATTTGTGTTTTTATACATCATTTTTACCTACAGAAAAAAATAAATTTCTCAATTTTTAATGGGCTATCTTTTACTCTCTTTTTTTTTAATTTGCCATGGTGAGGTGAGTTCTTTTTTGCTATAACTTGAAACCTATGTAAATTTACATTATTTTCATTCTCATATTTGTGATCAACCTGTTTCAACAATTAACCAGTTTTAAAATCATATTTTTGATATTTTACTACCTATAAACTTTTGGAAGAAATAGTTTTAACAATTAAGCGTATACTCTTTGGAGGAAGCTTACTACAAAGCTATTATAAATCTCCCAAACTAAGTATTGATTTGGCACAACCAATGGAGAATATCAATAAATTATCTTACTAATATTTAAACTTATGAGGATGCTTTTATATTTTGTCTTGCATTTACTTCAAGACATATATTTGATCAAGTTTATTTATATTTAAGAAGTAACACTTATAAAATATTTTTAAACATTTCTAAAATTTACAGATATATTGGGTTAGGGTCGCGCATTGCGCGACCAGACATCACTAGTTATACTAAGAGAGAAACCAGAGAGAGAAAACATAAAAGAATTCTAAAGGTGCCACATAGGATAAAATCTTATGTGTCATTTTTCTATTGGTTGAGTCAAAAAATATTTACAACAATTATACTAATAGTCCTTCAAATTTTATGTAAATAAAATTTTATCAAATGGCATTTTAAAACTATAAGTTCAAAGTTATGAGTATTCACCGGGATTTTTTACCCCAACCAATTCGAATAAAAAAAAAAATCCCTCTACAAAATAATCCCTAAATACTCATAACTTTTGCTAACTATCTATAGTATACTATTATACTAAGAGAGAAACTAGAGATAGAAAATAAAAAAAAATTCTAAAGGCGCCACATAGGATAAAATTCTATGTGTCATTTTTCTATTGGTTGAGTCAAAAAATATTTACAATAATTATACTAATAGTCCTTCAAATTTTATGTAAATAAAGTTTTATCAAATGACATTTAAAACTATAGTTTAAAATAGGAAAATAAAAATTAATTAAATTTAATGGACGAGATTAATAAACATTAATGCATCAGAATTATTCCCTCCCAAAAATAATCCCTCCCAAAAATAATCCCAAATTAGTATTAATTAATTGATTTACATTATAAATTCAAAGGGATAAGGCATTTATTATTTTCAACGTTAATTCATTGGAATTTTTTACCCTAGCCAATTCGAATAAAAAAAAAAATCCCTCTACAAAATAATCCCTAAAATCACTAGATTGATTTAAAACTTAAGTTCAACGTGCGAGAAAGAGGAAATTCATTAGTAATTAAAAACTAATCAAATTTAATTGAAAAAGACTAATCAACATTAATGCAATGGAAGTCATTTCTCCACCAATCTTATCCCTTAATCAACGTGACGTTATCATCTTTATTCCATAGTTATGAATTTTACTTTAGTTACTGGTTATGATATCTCATTCAGACATTCATTATAAATATCCACTTCGGTCTAACTCTAGCATGTACAATGACAACCGGTGAAACACTGAAGCGAAGCATCTTATATATTTTACAAAACATCTTTGCGGCGACGACCTCACTCCGATCATGTTTTATTTAACATGTAAGGTGTCTCTTTCTCCAATTGTGTGCAATCTTGATTAACATGCGTTTTCAACCGTGTAGACATAAATTGCTTTGATTTATATGACATGTAACATCTGATTTGTTATTTTGATGGTCTTTTTTACTTTTATTTGTATATAATCCTTATACATATTCTATTATTTAATTACATTTTTGGCATACAATTTATAAAATGTTGTCATTTCAAAGTATATATAAAAATTTTATTTATTACGATCTAATTTAATTTTAATCATATATTTATTAATACAAACCAGTTACTTTATTTATATTAATCACATTTAAAATTTAAAAATATATTTTAATAGATGTATATGTATAAATCCCACACATCGTGCGGATTTAACATCTAGTTATAGTTAAATTAATTTTGACTTTTTTGAAACTGAACTATTTTTTTGAAATAATATTTTTTGTTAAATTAGACTATTTTTGTGGGAGGGAGGGAGTACTTGACACATTTTTTTTATTTTCCCACCCTAAAAAGATGAAAAAGGTGAAAAGAAAAAAAAAAAGAAAAAGGAGAGGAGGTAAATCGCGTGAAAGGCTGAAACAGTAAAAAAACTCAGTCAACCCCACAGACGAAATTAACGAAAAAGGAAAAAGAAAATTTCAGTTATCCAGCTCAGTAACTCAGTAAACAACGGTACACGCACTCACACACTAGCCTCACTCTAGAAATGCACCCATTTCATCCCACACTCAAACCCTAGTCCCCTTCTCTCTTTATCTCCGCTGTACCCTTTCTCTCTCTAAAGACCAAATCTTCTCTCAACCATGGCCTCCCGGAGGCTTCTAGCCTCACTCCTCCGTTCATCTACGGCCAGTCTTCGCCGCGGTTCGTCATCATTTAACTCTGTTAAATCCACCGGCCGTTCCGGTGCTTCCCCGGCTGGCTTTTTACTGAATCGGGTCGCCCAATACGCCAGTTCAGCGGCGGCTCCATCCGCTCCCGCATCGTCGTCTACACCAGCTAAGCCTTCAGGCGGGGCCGGAAAGATCACTGACGAATTTACTGGAAAGGGTGCCGTCGGAAAAGTGTGTCAGGTGATCGGTGCCGTCGTAGATGTGAGGTTTGACGAAGGATTGCCCCCGATCTTGACCGCGCTCGAGGTCCTTGATAACCAGATCCGCCTTGTGCTTGAGGTCGCTCAGCATTTGGGTGAAAATGTTGTTAGGTGTATTGCTATGGATGGTACAGAAGGGCTTGTCCGTGGTCAGCGCGTGCTCAACACTGGGTCTCCCATTAAAGTAAGTTTCTTTGGAATGAGATTTTGATAACTGTAATCAGTTTGCGCGTATTTGAGATTTACAGTTGAATTCTTATCAGTCTGTGGGTTTTAGAAATGTATCTGGATTTTAAAATCTAGGGGCTTTTGTTTGAGATCTATAGTTTTGTGTCGTTATAGGATGGGGTTTGTGAGAGAGTTTATGTTGGATTTCAGGATACAGTACTTCTATATTTAGATTTTTGGTAATCTGACAACTTTTTATGCTTAAGTGACGACGATTGTTATGGTTAAATCTGAGACCTAATTGGATGTTTTTCGAACCCCATAAATGAATGATACGGAGTTGTGTATGATTCACTTATGAATGATACAGAGATTTTTTATGATGGGATAGAGAGATGGTACTAAACAGTAGGCGTTGTCAAAATCTCATTTCTTTTTGAAGGTGACTAAATGATAATGAATTAGAATTATTTGATGAGATTGTGCAGGGATCTTGTAGTGGAGCACTTATTTATAATCTTGGTTTTCCAGCATTGGTGTTCTGTAGAATTTACGCTCGTTACTGGCTGTTGTGTGTTCATTCCAAGTTATCATTTGCTCAATGCTAATGAGATTATTGACTTAAATTACCTTTTCTGTAATGCTAGGTTCCTGTTGGAAGAGCCACCCTTGGCCGTATCATCAACGTCATTGGAGAACCTATTGATGAGAGAGGCGAAATTAGTAAGAAAATCATCACTCTGTAGGTTTGTTCTAGTTCCCTCGGCTTGAAAACCCTGGTCTTACCAGTTAACTGACTCTTGCAGAAACTGAGCACTATTTACCCATCCATCGTGAGGCTCCAGCTTTCGTTGAGCAAGCCACTGAACAGCAGATTCTTGTTACTGGTATCAAGGTAATTTTCCAAAAGCAACTGCCTTCCAAATTCGTTATCTTTCTGTATGTTTGTAGTGTGTAAAATTTGCTTTGGTTGCATTACTTAGGTTGTTGACCTGCTTGCACCGTACCAAAGGGGAGGCAAGATTGGACTGTTTGGTGGTGCTGGTGTCGGAAAGACTGTGCTTATTATGGAGCTGATCAACAATGTCGCTAAAGCTCATGGTTGATTATTATTTTGGTTAATTTATTGTGTTCAAATGTTTTTGTGCTCGCTTATCTTAGTTGTTGAATCGTCATTTTGTTTCTCCAGGTGGTTTCTCTGTGTTTGCTGGTGTGGGAGAGAGGACTCGTGAAGGTAATGATTTGTACAGAGAAATGATGGAAAGTGGTGTCATCAAGCTAGGTGACAAGCAGGTAAATATTTGTAGACTATCTGGTGTATTTTAGTTATTTGAATTTATTTTGTAATAATCATTTACGGAATGGATTAATTGTATATGCCAGAGTGAAAGCAAATGCGCGCTGGTCTACGGTCAAATGAATGAGCCCCCAGGTGCCCGTGCCCGTGTTGGTCTTACTGGTTTAACTGTTGCTGAGCACTTCAGGGATGCTGAAGGCCAGGACGTGCTTCTCTTCATCGATAACATTTTCCGTTTCACTCAGGTAGAAATTTCTTCCTTGGTTGATTAGGTCTTTGGTTTTTGGTCATGTGCTGTATGTATGTGAATAAATGAATTGCTTGTTACTTTGTACATAGTTCCCTAATGCTTTGCCAATATGCCTTTTTGATTCGCAGGCCAACTCTGAAGTGTCTGCTTTGCTTGGTCGTATCCCATCTGCTGTCGGTTATCAACCAACTTTGGCTACAGATCTTGGTGGCCTTCAGGAGCGTATTACCACCACAAAGAAAGGCTCCATTACTTCTGTCCAAGCTATTTATGTGCCTGCTGATGACTTGACAGATCCTGCACCAGCAACAACGTTTGCTCACTTGGATGCCACAACTGTGTTGTCGCGACAGGTTGCACTAGTTTTATGATGTGCTGCTCAAAATTACCTGGTGTTTTGTCTTTCATCTTATAAGAATTCAAAATATTGTTCAGATCTCTGAGCTTGGTATCTATCCTGCCGTGGATCCACTTGATTCTACATCACGTATGCTTTCCCCTCACATTTTGGGAGAGGATCACTACAATACAGCTCGTGGTGTCCAGAAGGTTCTCCAGAACTACAAGAATTTGCAAGATATTATTGCTATTCTTGGTATGGATGAGCTCAGTGAAGATGATAAGTTGACAGTGGCCCGTGCCCGTAAGATTCAGCGGTTCTTGAGTCAGCCTTTCCATGTTGCTGAAGTGTTCACTGGTGCTCCTGGAAAATACGTTGAGTTGAAGGAAAGCATTGCCAGTTTCCAGGTAAACGTCACATCCATTTGCTGATCTGCCTTTACTATGCATTCGTAAAACTTGATTTGTAATATATGGCATGGTAATTTTATGTTTATGAAAGCATTTGTTTTTGCTAGAGTTGTATATCAACTTTTCTTTTAATATGTGTGTTGGTTCCTGAATAAAGTTGCGCATATTCTTGTAATAGTCATTTCCCACTATTTAGGTGCTGATAATGCTATGTTGGATTATATGCATCTTGATGAAGTTTTCATCATCTTCATGCCCTGATACTTTGTTCAATCCATTGTTTCCAACAGGGAGTTTTGGACGGAAAGTATGATGATCTTCCTGAACAGTCATTCTACATGGTTGGTGGCATTGAAGAGGTTATAGCCAAAGCAGAGAAGATTGCCAAGGAATCTGCATCTTAGACTTCTGGAATTTTCATTTTTTGGTTTCTCTTTTTGACAGACAAACGATAATTGCGAAAATCAATAATTTACACTATTGGCTTAGGCCAAGATCAGGATTTTTATAATTATCTTTTCTTGGGGGAACTGAGGGGGTGGACCAAGTTTTCTGGTTTTTTGTTGCATATTGACTGGAACATGTGAAAAGAACATGGAGCTGAGGGAAAGGCCTCCTCCTTGCCGAAGTCCCCTTTTGGTTTGTAATGCCAAGAATAAGGGTGGCATTCAGGAAGGCAGAACTTGTATATTTCGCATAATCTTTACTATATTAGAAGTTTGGGATGATGAAGCTCTATGGAATTTTTTTCAGTCAACCACCCCTCGCATTCATTTGTTCTTAATTCATTGATTTGTTCTTAGTTCATTGCATCAAATCCATGCCAAAGTTGCGGGCTTACTCGTGCCTGATTTCTGTTTGACATCGACTATTGGTAGCTGAAATTCGCCGAGACCTAGTTTTTTGACGGATGATGGTCTCTCTGTGGTTGTCCTGCACTTTGTTGGAGCTCCTTAGTTGTAGAGTATTCCTTTTTATGGTGTTCCAATTTCCAAGTTTGTTGGTGGTTTTCTATGTTGTTTATATACCAAAAAACACTACAACTATAAACACAACGAGTTTCGCTGAGTTTGAAATTAGGAAGCCACTCCATGGTTGTGATTAATGGTGTACTTGGATCCGACCAATCGTACTTGGTTCCATTTCTATGTTGATCTGAAGTGGAAATTGCAGAAATTTTTAGAATGCATAATAATTTTGAGTAGAAAATGTCACCAAGGTCCCACTCTTTATCAAGAGTGACACGTGGGGGCTCTCCATTGATGTCTGCTCTACACCCCCCAACTTTCCTTCATCCTCCACCTTTGGCGGCGGCGGCGCTTTCTAGTCTCCTCCACGACTAACTCAAACTGAAAGAAACAGAAGAGAAAAAAAAAGAAAAGGAAAACTATAAACCTCCGTTTAAATCCAGAAAGAAAATGTCCATAACCACTTTCTCACCAGCCGTCCCTCGAAACCTTCCTCACCTCTGTTCCCATGCATCCTTCCGCACCTTACCATTTCCCTCCTCCCCTCCGCCCATGAACCTCCTTCGACTCAAACCCCATCCCTCCATCTTCCACCTCCTCCGCCACCGCCGCCGACCTCTTTCCCTTTCCGCCGCAGCTGTCCGGCAGGACACCACTACCTACACATCCGCCCCCCTCGTCGACGTTTCTCCTGCTGCCGAATCTCTCTTCCACGTCACCGTTGACGTCGCTGATTCCCCTGATCTTGCGGCTTCTTATACCATCGCTGGTCAGTATCTTCAGCTCCGAGTTCCAGATTCTGATAAGCCGTCTTTTCTGGCCATAGCATCTCCGCCGTCCCTTGCCGCGACTAAAGGCGTTTTTGAATTCCTCGTGAAAACCGTCCCCGGTTCCACCGCGGAGCTTCTCTGCGGGCTGCAAAAAGGTGATGTGGTGGAATTGACTCAGGCCATGGGTAAAGGATTCCAAATCGATCAAATTTCCCCGCCGGAAAACTATCAGTCGGTACTTATATTCGCAACCGGAGCTGGAATTAGGTAATAACTTCATAAATTTAATCTTTTTTTCCCTTTAATTTTCTTAGAACTGAACTAATTTGCATCTTCCACTTGATCAGTTAGTTATCCTTGCACTGTTTTCTAATCGCCAAATTGATTTGGTTTTAGCTGTATCTGATTAGCGTAGGAGCTGACATGAAAATGCCCTGGAGAGAGTGATCCGTTCTTTTCAAATTCTATTAAATTTATGGTTTGTGCTTAATTTGTGCTTCTCCATCAAAGAAGAAAATGCGAGGAATTCAGCTTGTACTTGTATGTAAGAACTAAGAAGACGATATATAATTTTAACATGGAAATAATTGTCCACTGTGTGTTTAATATCTGGATCATTCTATAGCTGTAGAAGAGTGTAAAAATGGTGCCAAACTAACTTGCTGGGGTATTCCTCACCTTTAACCACTTCCTGGGAAGCTTCTCCACTTAAGAATTGAGTGTCTTGAAGTCGCTCAGAGCCTAATCCTTCTAGGTCTCAAATTTACCTTGTATAATGGGCCAACTCAATCTTAATTTAAAATTGTTCCGTAACATCCACTAGCTGTGTATTTGGTTGCTCTTGTGCTTCGCTAGCCAACACTGGGGCAGATAGAGAGAGAGAATTTGGTAGAAAAGGAACAAAGAACATTGATATTCTTAAGCGAAACATATTTTATGAGAAGTGTCAAATGTATGCTGAAGAATTCACTGCAGTTTGTGTCGGCAATTTCCTCTCTTAGTCAATAAATTCTGAATTAAGGACTTGGAAACTCTTTTCTTCCTCCAGATTTTTGGCACAATATTTCCATGCTCCTTGGACTCTTTGTAATGAAACTAATATCCTTACTCCTGCTTTTATTACAGTCCTATCCGTTCGTTGATTGAATCCGGATTTGGTGCAGATAAGAGATCTGACGTTAGACTCTATTATGGTGCTAGAAATCTTACAAGGATGGCTTATCAGGTTTACTTTGTTACTTATCAGCATCATTCTTTCTGTAAAATCCTCTACTGTCTCCTTTGAAAACAAGCTGAACTATGGAAAAAAGCGAGTGTTCGCTGTTCAAATTGTCTCAATCAAACGGTTACTTGTCTCCTACAGGATAGGTTCAAAGAGTGGGCATCTTCTGGAGTTGAAATAGTGCCAGTTTTGTCTCAACCCGACCAGAATTGGACTGGAGAACAGGGATATGTTCAGGTAGAAAAATATATAACCGATAATTATGTACTATGTCTGGTTTTGATGATAGAGTTTTATCTGTGTAATTCATTAGTAAAGCATAGCTTTTGGAGGATATTTGGTGTGTCTTAATTAAGTGGCCATCGCAGGCTGCATTTGCTCGAGCAAAGAGAATATTGAGTCCTCAGTCTACTGGGGCAGTGCTTTGTGGGCAAAAAGCAATGGCGGAGGTAAAGTTTTGTTGTTTCGATTTGCAAATATCGCTAGGGATCTTTTTTTGCATAACATCTCTGTCTATATGCTTATTTATTTCATATCTGAAGAGTGCATGCTTGGCTATCTATCTGAGATTTGTTCTGATCTTTGCAACTTTGAGTTTTAAGAATATCTATAAATATGCCTGCTGAAAGTTATGACCCGTGATTTTTCTATATATATATCTGGAAAATAAATTAGTGATAGAAAAAGTTGTCTTTTGGAAACAGTTTCCTAGATTAGCTATGTTTTTTATTATCTCTCATTCTGTTGTGGAGATATCCTGTCTTTGGTGCAGGATTGTAGACTTGAGAATATGTGAACTATGTAAATGAGTAGATCTCTTTTGAGTGTAATGAAGTTGCTGATTGTTTCTTCCTCAATAAGCTAGATGAAGATGATTTCAGATTTATGCATGGGGAAGATCTTCCTGTACTGCTTTTCTGAACGAACATGTGTGGAAAAGTTTTGGGTGGCAAGCATTTTAAAAATTCCATAGACAGAAAAAGTCTAAAAGCTTCAGTGGCAATAGACTTCTTTAAGCAGATGAATGCATTTCCTTGATTCGGAAACTGATTATCATGCTTCTGGCAGGATGTTACCTCCCTCCTGGTTTCTGAAGGAGTATCAACCGAGAAGATTTTGAAGAACTTCTGATTACAAAAGTTCGGGAGATGGATTTGTTGTATTACGTTAACTAGTTGTCAGGACCATTCATTCATTTTATTTTACTGACTGGTGAGATCCAAAAATTTGATTTCTGATCATAAATAATCCTCTGTCTGTTGGATATTTGCCTTGGAGCCTTCAGAGCTGGGTGCATCTGCTATCGCTGGAGGTAAATGTAGCACGTATAATTAGAAAGAGAGCTCTTATTGGAGAGGTAGAAGAGAGCTGAAGTAAATGAGTCATCGTTAAGTTATACACACGGAAATTTTGTATTCATTATTCACTGTGCAGTTTGCACAAGTTATGTGGCACTTTACCCATATATTGTAGTGTTAATGTAACATTCAGACAGTAAGATGTGCCTTGTCCATTTGGGCACTTTTGTCACCAACCCTATTGAAAGTGCATCAATAGTCGATCAATTACTGATTAAAAGCTACAGGAGTAGGATTCTCTCTTTACCATTGGAAAATGCCTTTGATTTAGAAACTAACTGTAGATCGAGGATGTGCACTTATTGCTCTTCTTATCTTTGTTCAATATACAAGATATATCAGGTGCTGAAACTCTTTTAGTATTGAACTAAAAACTCATTTGAGTCCTTAATTTGTTCCTCAACAATCAAAATGTTGAAGATAGCCTTTAAATATCAACTCTCGGCTGATTTTCAGTTCCAAGAATTTGAAACGTTTCCTCAGCTACATTGACACTGATTGATCAATGAAATGTTTTTAAATAATTTATTGAGCAAGAGTAGGTGAAACAAATTCACAGACAGGACAGTCTTGCAAAACACCAAATTGGAGGTATTATTGACGCCAAGAGACTAAACGTCAATCAATTATCAGAGCGCAATAAAATCAACAATTACGGTTCAATTCAGCAACAACACCGGTAAAAGAATTGTTTTGTCTGAAAGTTAACACAATACAGAAAAAGATCCATTAGTTTTGCTAAACTCAGAATTCACTACCACCATGACCATTTTCAGGATTCCCATCTTGCAAACCAGATTTCCCATTTGCTTCTGTTGGCTTCCCCGGCTGCTGAGCATCCATTTTCATCTCATCAGAGTGGTGACTTCTGTGACTGCCATTGTGGTAGTGGTGGTGACCATGTCGGTGATGATGCCTTCTATGGTTTTCTTTTCTATCAGAGTCATTATCAGATGACTTTCCTATAGATCTGCTCCTATCACGTGAATGGTCCTCTGGATCTGAGGACTTCAAGTCATGGCTCTGAGACCGGCGATGATGCTTGTGGTGTTTTGCGCGACTCTTCCTCTTAACAGTGTCATCCTCACTTGATGAATCAGAAAAACTCGAGCTTGATCTTCTAGACCGTTTGTGATGCCTTCTTCCACGAGTTCTTTTTTTCCCTGAATAATCATCATCATCGGTTCCTGAGTCAGAATCACTGGAATGTGATCTCTGATGGCGTTTGTGATTCTTTACACGATTTCTCCTCCTAAAAGCCTCATCATCATCTCCCGAAGAGTCAGAATCAGAGGAATCTGAACTAGAATCATGATGTCGTCGCTTTTTGTGGGCTCGTCTCTTTCTCCTGTCCTCTTGCGAATCAGTATCATATCCGCTGTAATCATCATCATCATCAGAGTCAGAGGATCTCTTCTTAGGCTTGTGCTTAGATTTCCTCTCCTTCTTCCTCTCGCTGTCCCCTGAATCAGAGTAATTCTGCTTCCTATGCTTCTTATGGGACTTTTTGGGTTTCCTTCCTTCATCACTGCTGTCACTGCTATAACCATCAGATGCTGCAGGAGATCTTTTCTTGTGCTTAGTGCTCTTCACTCTTTTGGCATTGGCTTCGGCATCAGCCTTTGCCTTGGCTGCAGCTTCAAGTTTCTGCTCCCATTTCAATGGGGCTTCTTTCCTCTCCAAAATTCGCTTCTTCTTTTCCTCGAGCAACTGGATGAACTTCTTTGCATCCATGTCGATGTAAAACACAACTGAATACCTGCATTTTGGTATGAAGATGACCAAAAGTGCATCTCAAAAAGAGAAAGGAAACAATGTTAGTTCTTCCACCAGAAAAATCAATTCCAAAGAATTACTGAATATAAAAAAACGAGAAGTAGAAGTTCCCAACTCGATGCTGTTGACCTCAAAAACACCGAATCAGCAAAAATTCCTATGAAAAAAAGAAGAGACTATCTGGGTAAATCTTCCCCAATGTCACAAAGACAGACCTCGTTTAAGCAAATTCAACACGGAACTACTTCCTACAGGAACCAAATCTTGTTCCTAATCTCACGGTGGTTCAGTAAAAGATTATGAAACTCAAAAGGATGCATAGCATGTGGACACGATAAACTTGTATGCTCAGTGTTCTAACAGCTAATTGAGAATTAAAATCTTCACACTGGTAACTGTTAACACATCTTTAATAACTCCAGGCACGACTAAGCAAAATTACTCCATGACAGATAGAAACAGCATTCTATTCACCAAATCAATTGGCACTGGAAATATTCTCAGACAAAAAAGTTGAGCTCTAAGTCTTCCAAACTCACTCTGGCTAGAAATTAGAGGCTACTACCATAATATCATACAAGTTTTTAACAAACAACACGACAATGGAACCTAATAAAGCAATGCATAAAAATTACTTTATTTATGCCCGGCCTACTTAGATAATGGATTCTAACGCAAAATATATTCAACCAGTACTCATTTTTTTGGGGGAATAACTTTACCAAGAGAGTCAATTTGAAGAATGGACTTTATGTCCCGATTTCAAGCATAACATAATACGCAACAAGCCATATAAGTTCCTAGTCCTACCCATGGATTCCTCACATCTACACCTTTCATCTTATCTTCTCAATAAATTACTATGGGAAAGGAAGTTTAGGTTAAGCTAGCAAGCAGCAGCAAGCAAGTAGACACAGCTTTCACAACCACATACCAACAGAAGGGCCTATCCCCAAATATGGAAGCATAAAAGATAGAATTGCAAACACAGACAGCTAAGAGGATCCGAGCCAGGTTTCTTACCTTATAACAATATAACAGTATCAGAAAGCCACAATCCTGAAGGACCTCACTTCCTTTCAGAAACCCGAACACCAACTGGTATTAAAGAAAGTCTTTCTCCAAAATTCTGCAGTACAAAATCAAAGCCCAGATGAGGGCCCAACAATTTTCATAAGAAAAAGAAACATGGTACCACCCGTAATGAATCAGCAGCCAAAAAATTCCAGACTTGCAAGTTGCAACTATATCACAAAACCCTTTAAAACGAATGCAATTACGATTGCAAGGATGCAATAATGCACGCAGTCAAAATTGAACCTTGAACAAAACACAAACCCTAATCTTGGTTCAAATAAAACCCAGCCGACGAATAGGGAAAACCAAAAAAAGGAGAAATTCAAGAGCAATTAATTACACACCTCGAGTAACACAGGAGCTTGGACAAAGAACACAGAATCGAAGAGAAATGCAAGGCGGCTTCGGACTGATAAGCAGCTGCAAAGATGAGAGAGGTTAACAAGCTTTCAAACAGCCCTCTTTCTCAAATCTCTCTCCTCCTGTGCTAGCCCCCAATCTGTGAATCTCTAGAGAGTTCGGAAATGTGGGCTGGAGCTATTTTTTTATAGACCGCTTCCTGTTAATCGAATATGCGTGTAGGTTACTCTACGCGCTTTCTTTATTCTCTCTTTTTTTTTAAAAAAAATATATTATTATTTTTAATTACTACAAACAGGTCGGTTGTTCTGGTTGCCTCGAAGGCTCGAACCTATTTTCATTATTATGCTGACTTTGACACAAATTCTTTTTTTATTCAATTATTCTCATTATCATCTCTTTTGTTTTTTTGGGTTGACTTTGATACAAATTCTTGTTTGATTTTTCAATTCAACAAATAAGCTCAAAGTATAAGATCTAAACTAAAATTCTATAATTGTAATGGAATTGTATCTTGTGCCCTCTAAGGTCTTCCTAATGTAGGTCTAACATAAATTTTTCATTAGGTATATATATATTTTTAATTTATATACATATTTTTACATTTTCAAAATAAATAAACTCTTATTACAAACAATTCTTAACATTTCCTATAATATGTATAATGTATAAAATTTTCACCACGAGTTTGTTAATCTAACACTAGAAGTTATATAAGGTATGATCAAGTGAGTTAACTGTTGAATCTTTCATTTTTATCTTTATTTTTTTTGGTTAAATTGAGTATTTCATTTTTGATATAGGATGTCGATATAGGAGTAATTTTTTTTCTCTTAACTAAAGCATAAATACTTCTTCCGGCCACAAATATAATTCACATTGAATTTTGTATTGTTTGTAGTATAAATTTGAAAACGCAATGTGGATTATTTTTTTAAATTCTTATTGCATTGAGGAAAAGTCATAAACCTAAATCGAATTAAGAGACATTTGATGCAACATAACTATAATAATGATGAAAAAAAATTCTAGTTGCCTCTTTTGAAAAAAATAAAATAAAATTGGGCTCTATGCCTTTGTGGAAAAAAAAAAAAGAAAAGAAAGCGGAATTTTACTTTAATTATTTCTTTACAGTGCTCCTTGTAAATAAAAATGAAATTACACGTAAATACAAAATTCACGCAGTCACACCGAAGCTCCCATTGACTTGTGACTTGTCTCTTAAGAGTTAAGTCTCTTTTTCTTTTTAATTTTTTCTCCGAAACCAGAAAATATATAAATTCCCTGGACCTCCGATATAATCGAAATTCTTTCCTTCTCCGATCACCACCACCACCGCCGCCGTAACCATGGCAACTCCGTCGTCCACGGCGGCAGCCACAACGAACATTATGCTCGCAATCTACGAGAAGAAAACCAATTCATTAGACCTCTACCGTCCTATACGGAACTACATAGTGATCAATTACGGGGAGCGAGAGGCTCAGAACCTGGAGGATGATCTCCAAACCCTCAAAGAACTCCGTGCTGATGTGGAACGCGGCCCCACGCCCGCCGATTCGTCTCTCACTGCTCGCCGTGATCTGCTCCAGAAGTACTTCAGAGCTCTCTGCGCTGTAGAGTCTCGGTTCCCGATATCTCCCGATAAAGAACATATCCATGCTATTTCCTTCACTTGGTTTGATGCTTTTAAGAATAAACAGAAAGCTTCTCAACAGAACATCCATTTAGGTATCACTCTTTGAATTTTGGAAGAATCAAATTTGTTAACATTTTTTATGCTACACTCTTTCTGCCTAGATACCTTCGATTTGGGTGTTTTTTTTTGGCCTGTATCTTAAATTAGTTTAAATTTGCTCTTTTTTTTTTTTCAATTTTGTTTTTGATGGATTTCTAGGGCAATTGATATATTTTCTTTTCCTTAAATGTACGGGGTCTGGTTGGTAATGGAACTTAGAGTATCATTAGCAATGGGGTACGATGAATTGTGACGTCGTGTTTCCTTTGATCATAAGTTTTGAAAATGTAATAATACATGGTCTTGCTGATCACCAGACTGTAAAACAGTTGGTTCTCTGGAAAACATGCGGGATATGTAGGATTTTTTAGCACAATTGAGTCTGGATTAAAGTAATATGGGTTTTCAAACTCTCCTGTCAGTTGGAACGTTCTGTTTTTCAGTTAAATTACAAGATAACCTGATTTAAACCATTTTTTTTTCCCATTTTAAAAACCAAAGTTGTGTTTGAAGGTTCATTGATTTGTTGAGTCGACTCATGTTGCAACCATTTTTGTTTCAGAAAAGGCTGCAGTGATGTTTAATCTAGGGGCTGTGCATAGTCAAATGGGTCTGAGTTTTGATCGGTCTGGGGTTGAGGGGCGGAAGCAGGCATCTCATGCTTTTATAGCTGCTGCTGGGGCATTTGCCTACCTAAGGGATAATGTGTCTATGAAAGCATCTATGGGTAGCTCAACTACACTGGATGTTTCTGTGGAGTGTGCTGGAATGCTGGAGAGACTGATGCTGGCGCAGGCACAGGAATGTGTTTTCGAGAATTCTATTGCGAAGGGAAATACTCCTGGGGTCTGTTCAAAAATATCAAGACAGGTATTACTCGGATTCTTGGTGCTTATATGCTGTGTTTGTTGGATCTGTTTGTTGGTTGATGTTTGTTAGCTTTTGTGTGAAGTTAAATCTCTGTCCCTTGTTGATTTTATTGGTATTATTGTTGATATCTTCTATTGGATTTATACCTCTTTAGACTAGGCTCCTTATGTGCTCTAGGTGGTCTAGAACCTTAACTGATGAATAATTGTCATCAAGGGTTAATGAATTATGCTAATTCAGTTTTTCAGTACCTGTAATGGTGAAAGGCAAACATAAAAGAAGAGTTTCTGGTGGGATAAATTTTGATTTCCATTATCGATTTCTTTTTCTTAAGCTAAGTTAATGGATGTTTGAGATGAATGGTACTCTGACAGCTAGTGTTCAGAGGTAACGAGTGGTTTATGAAGGATGGCAATAGTTGAAATCCTACCCTTGGCCTCTTCGATTTCTTCACTTGGAAAGATCACATCAACCGTCATTACTGACTACAGTTTCAGTTCCATCACTTTCTCTGTTTAATTTCCAGTAATTTTTATTTGAAATTTATTGAAGGTGTGCGGTTTCTAGACTTTTGTCTGGTTATTCAGTTTCTATGGCTATTAATTCTTTTGCCTGATGTTGATGCTTTTTAACAGTATAATGCATATATTAAGCATGGTTTCAAAATCTAAGCTCTCATTTTCTTCACTACAGGTAGGAATATATTATGAGGAAGCCTTGAAAGCACTTAGTGTTGCTCCTCTCAACCAGCATTTTGACAAGAATTGGCTGGCTCATGTTCAGCTTAAAACCGCTTTGTTTTTTGCTGAGGCTTGCTTCAGATATAGCTTAGAGCTACATGAGAAGGAAGAGATAGCTGAGGAAATTACCCGATTGAGGAGTGGTCTTGGTGCTTTGTCAGACGCAAAGAAGTCATCTCCTAAGGGTGCAGCTCAGCAACTGGTTGATGCAGTCAGTAAGCTAGAAGCCACTCTGAACCGTAACTTGGAGCAGGCTGTGAAAGAGAATGAAAGGGTCTATCTAATGAGGGTTCCAACAGCTAGCTCATTAGCTCCACTTCCTGCATTTTCATTGGTCAAGCCAATGCCAATGAATGAGGTGCTGGATGCAACTAAAGAGAAGATGTTCGCAAGTCTTGTTCCAGACAATAGTGCCAAATCTCTTTCTAGGTATACAGAAATGGTGGATGATGTTATTAGGACTCAAGCCGAGAAATTACAGCAGGCTAGTGAGCTTGCCCGAGTTAGGCTCAAGGAGATGGACCTGCCAGAATCCATTCTTGCTTTGGAAGGGAGTTCTAGTTTGCCAACAGCTCTGAAGGAAGATGTAGAGGCTGTTCAAGTTTGTGGGGGACCAGCTGGTTTGGAAGGTGAACTACTACAGCTTAAAGATTTGAGGAGGGTTGACCATGAATTGTTAGTGCAAACAGAGGAGCTCTTGCAAAAAGAAGCAACAGAAGACGCTCAGTTCAGAAATCAATTTGGAACACGGTGGACTAGACCACAATCTAGTACTTTGAACAAGAACTACCAAGATCGTCTAAACAGGTTTGCCGCAAATTTGAAGCAAGCAGCAGAAAGTGATACACGGATAGAACGATCCGTGAGAGAACATGCAGCACTGATGTCAATCCTAGACCACCGCCCAGTATGTTCCTCTCAATGATTAACCATTTTCTTGGTTGCTGTGATTATAAGTTCGGTTCAGTTTTAACACAAAAAAATAAAAATAAAAATAAATAAAGTAAAAAAATTAATTGGCTCACTATTTCTCTTTCTCGTATGGAGTCCTGTTATATGAGCTGTTGCTGTCCTTGGTTGTTTTTGTTTGCTTTATTGGCAGTTAGGACCCTGGTATCCATTTACATGGATGTATAAGTCCACGCTTCCTCCACTTGACATTGTTCACAGTTTGTGTGCCCTTGCATGTGCTATGCAGCATCATAAGTTTACAAATTGTACTTGCATGTGGAAATATTGGGTGATAGAGGATTTATATATACTTCACTGAAGTTATTATTATGTTGGTTGGAATGTGATAGATTTATTACATTGCCAAGTCCTCTTGTTGAATAGTTAAGTGATGCCAGTGTACTAACTCATTTCATATATAAGTTCTTTTTGGCCTGTTAACAGAGTATGTTTGTATCATTTTATAAATACGTAGCTTTTTTTTATTTTTTTTTATTTTTAAATCATTCTTTTGTTTGTTATAGCCCCTCTGCATGTGCTGAACCAGAGTGGTTTTTGCAAGTTTCCGTGTAAAAAATTGAACTGATCTTTTATTCAATAAAAAATACTTGTCGAGAAGAGGGAAAACTAAAGAAGATCAATGAGCAAAGCAGGCTTTCCCATATTTGAAACATGAATTTTCTTCATGGAACTCTTTCATTAAAAGGATTTTTGTTTTCTTGTGATTGTAGATAGAATCTGCACTACCAACACTGTCAAGGCCGATAATGTCCTTGGATGCTAATGAAGATGCTGTTGTGGGAGCCTTGAAGCAGAGTTTGGTGAGTGACATTTATGCTTTGGATTTGCAATAGAAATGTGAACTGCTGGTTGTTACATCTTTTTTGTTCGTGGTAATTATCAAGTTAGCAGTCTCTGAATGCAATGATTAGATTGCGTAAAACATTGCTAATCTGAGTTGACCGTCCCTTTTTTAATGTCTTAAAGTCAAAAGGGCATGTGGATGTTTTGGTGTTTCAACATGTATGAATGCATATTTCTAAATTTTTTAAGGGCAATAATAGATTTGAAAGCGCACTTGGGTTGGTTTAGTATCGTAGTGCATGAGGAATTTATATTAACATGTACTTGGGAAAACTATTGCATATGCAATCAGTACGAAGACTGAAAGGAATTACATTTTTTGTCCTCCCAAAACTGTATGCAAAACAAATGGATTGGTTCTTCTGCATGTTAATTATTCTGAAAAGGGAGCTGGCGAAGCATTGCCTCATTGGTAACTTTGAAAGGGGAATCATCCCTTATGCTTTTGAAATGTAATATCCTATTTGGTCTTTCTGGGCAGAAACATCTGATCATCTGAAGGACTGATTGGCTTATATGTTTCCATTTTTATTGCAGAGGCATCTGGAGTCTCTTGGTGCTCAAAGAGCAGGCTTGGAAGACATGCTGAAAGAGATGAAGAGGAAGGTAATAACAATATTAGTTGATTTCTTCTCTTTTTTTCTCTAGTAGGTGCTAGGCAGACATATCCTTTCTTTAGAGATAAAGCTGATGTTACAATTGTACTGTGAGATTTCTTAGCCTTCCTTTTTCCTTTGTTGGTTAAAAGATTGCAAAGTATTTGTAATATTACTGTTTCTAATTATGCCCAATATGTTGTTTGGTTAGTGTTTAGTGGCCTGCTGCAGATGTTGCACAAATTTACGTTAGAATACAAGCTACTGATGTGGCAGCCGGATTTTTTTTTTAACAAGCTTCTGATACATTTTTATTATACTTTTTTTTTTCTTTGGTACATTTTTTTTTGGGTATTAGAACAGTGTATTTTTATTTTTCTTAAAATTACGTGCATGAATAATGTATTGTTCTGTTCAACTGTTGATACCGTGTGGATTTTAATACTTATGTTTGCGACTCAGGATGACATATTACCCAAACTGATGACATCCAGCGGCTCTCACGAGGATCTTTTTAGGAAGGAAATTGCTAAATATGATCACATTTGCCAAGAAATTGCACAGAATATTGATGCACAAGAGCAGTTGTTGGTGCAAATTCAGGTACATATGCAAGTATCATGGACTGTGATCTTTTGTTGCTTTTGGTTTTCCTTTATTCATTATTTGGTTGCTCTATTTATTCCTAGCCACTTAACTTTGGGGTTTGGTTATACACTGAACGAGGTGGATTTTCCATATGCTCCCTCCGTCGTGTTTTTAATAGTCGACTTTGTTGATTTAAAATAGTACAAATAAAGTGGACTATTTAAGTTGGACACAGGAGAAATAAATGAGTCATTATACGGTCAATTTGATTGTCGTAGCTTTAGTAGTATGCAGTTATGGGGCACCCTTTTCGACTTGGAACAGTGTATTTTTAGTGCCTTTATGTCCAGGACCATGAACTTTTTTCTTGAAGAAGGGAAAACAGGCAACAATTATGCATTCAATTTCTTGCAGACAACTGTTAAGGTTCTATATAATTTTCTTGTGCTATCTCCCTGCGCTGTTTCATGAATTCTTATTTGTAGTTTGACGGGTTTGAAATGTAAAATATTCCAGAATGATGATCTTATATGCGATGCTCTGAATTTTAGCGCTAAGACCACAGTCGATTGTTCCTGTTTACTTCTTAATTTTTGGTGGAGAGGTTCATTTTTTTTTTGTTCAAGAATTTGACAACCTAGGACATTTTTGGGATGGGATGAGTGAGTGGTGTCTTCTAGTATATTTTCTCGAGAAGAAAGGAGCATATAGTTGTTTATTATTGTCATAAATTTTTTGCATTCTCTTTTAATTTATGGTGAAGTCTCTTGTTGAGGATGTACATTGACATGGAGTCGAGTATAAATTTGGAAGCCTTATGAAGCGTATCTGTAAAAGCTGTTTACAAATGTTTGCTTTTGCTAATTTTAAACTCTTGAAGGTTTTACAATTATACGATAAATTGCTGATTGTCTTCCCATTTCACAGGTACAAAATGATAATTTTGCTGCTGTTTTCAACCTCGAAGACTACAAAGGTACTTTTTCTCTTGAGTGTTTAGTTTGTTAAGCCTCTGTAAAACTAAATCATGTTTAGGTGGTTACTTTTCGAGCTTGGTGATTGTTAGTTCTAAAGTAGTTTTTGTGCGTTTAATAGAGCCATAAATGAAACCTACTTCAACAGCTTCTTTATTCTATTTAATTACTCTACTATTTTCTTTAAGTAATATTCACTTGGTCATGCTACACGCTTCTCTTTTAGAGTTTATGTAATTTGATGCCAAGTTACTCATTTCCATCTGCTGGTAGTGGCATGTCATCATTAACCATCTAGTTATCATTAACCATCGAAAGGTTAATAATTGTCATCATTAACCATCATTGACCATCCATATATGATATAACCTACCCCACTAGTGGGAAAAGGCTTGTTGTTGTTGTTGTCGTTGTTGTTGTGACGACGGCTGAGGAGTTTGCAAAGAGTTCACTGAAATTGGGAACTGAATAATTTGGCTATTTGCAAATTTGAGAAGTCAATTTGGTGAAACTTATTGCTGCTCTTGGATATCGAGTTACTCCTATAGCCTTCTTGCTCTAATGGCAATTGTTCCACATCCAAATATATTAATTTGTTGTTGCACCTTTATTTGTTTGGCTGAAACTTTCTTCTTCATTTTAATGTTGTGAAATGTCTGTACTCATAATTTTCTAATTTTCAGCTTCTCGGGAAAAGTGCTATAAACAAATTGAAGCTGCAATAGCAAAATATCGAGAAATTAAAGAGAACATTAATGAAGGATTGAAGTTCTATGTTACACTTCAGGTATAATATTTTCTTCCTGCATGCTCTTGGTTTCCTTATTCTTCTTCCCCCAAGGAGTCAATGCACGATTGTTCATTATCAATGAATCAATGAAATATTATACAATGCGGGCATGTGGTTCCCAGGTACATTATCACCTATGTGGGGAACTGTTCTACGAAGGGGAAAGGGTAGAAATCCTTATGTTCTGTTCCTGATGCATGGCTTAGCTGTCGCTAGGGAAAACCCCAGTTGTTTGGGTTACTATATTACCAAAGGTGGGGAACTATTGGTCTATGTCAGGGAAGGGTTTCAAACCCAGATGCTAACCATATTTTGTTTTACCTCGGGTTTGATTGTCGGGGATTGTGAGTGCTATATCCATTGTTGGTGCTAGTGTTTGCTCTAGTGCATGACTGTATACTGTAGTTAACAAAGTGCTTTGAATTTGTGCCTGAAGTTTTGGCCTTGATACTCTTTCGTCATGCAAGAACCAATGGGTTTGATTGTCGGGGATTGTGAGTGCTAGATCCATTGTTGGTGCTAGTGTTTTGCTCTAGTGCATTACTGTAGTTGACAAAGTGCTTTGAATTTGTGCCTGAAGCTTTGGCCTTGATACTCTTTCGTCATGCAAGAACCAATGGGTTGTGGACAATTTAAACCTTTTTTTTTTTGCCATACATTTCCATGTCGTATATAAAGAATTTGAATGTGTCTTACACTGCAGGGTGATGGTTTTTTAAGAATTGATTCACTCATTTTCAACTTTCTTTTTGAAATAGGAGGCAATCACAAATGTAAAGCAGCAATGCAGTGACTGGGTGATGACGAGGAATATTCAGTGCCGGGAAATGATGGAATCTGTTCAGAGACAGTTTTCTGGGCTCAGTTTTCAGGATGGCAAAAACACAGGTGGGTATAACTATCCTTCAGTTGGACAGCCCCATCAACCTCAAAGATCAAACTCCCAACAGCAAACCGATACTTCGAATATGCCAAATCAGTCACAAGCTCCGACTCCTCCATACCAGCCTCCACCGCAACCCAATATGCCAGGTTATGCTCAAACTCCTTCACCCTATGTTTCTCCTCCTCAACAAGTGCCACCCCCTTACCATGTACCAGCTTCAGGTCCTCCATACCCGCCTCCCCACCAACACCAGCAACAGCAGCCCCCTGTATCTCACGAGTATGGACAACCTGCATATCCTGGCTGGCGAGGACCGTATTATAATTCACCTTCTCAGCAGCCAGGTTCTATGCCTAGGCCTCCTTACACTGTTCAACCTCCATACCCTCCCCCAAATCAGAGTGGCTATTATAGACAGTAGTCTATCTTGTCAGCTTTTGCCGCATACGAAAACTGTGTATTTGTAATTCCTTTTTTTTTTTTTTTGGGCTTTTTACCCCGCTGGCACCAAGGAAAGCCATATCTATAATGTCTATTATTGTATCTATGTATACTCTGCGCAATTGCAGTTTCTGCAACTAAACCTGCTTGGTGATTTCCTGGACGAGTAACATAATTTATTTATTTTTTCCTGTTCAATTTCACAAATTGAGCTAGAAGATACGTGTGATTGACGCACAGAAAGTTGAACTATTAGTTTCGTTTACATTTCCTACATTTATCTGCACATAATATTTTGTGGTTATTTTGTAAGATAGCGTACATGAAGTTGAATACAGTGCTATATGGAATAATTTCCGCAGCATCTTAGGTCGGTGCTTAAGAATGGCCAGTTTGAGAAGATTTTTGATTAAGCAATGTTAACAAAACATAAATATATATATATATATATATATAAACCATTTATTTGATTAAAGACTGTTAAAAAGTGGTAGTACAAATTTTTAAGCAATAAAATTTACTTTAATATTTGTTACTTGAAAGTCTTCTTAAACCAATCTATTAATTATGGTGGACTTTTAAGAGATTGCATCCGAACATTAATTTATTCTGAGAAATGCACACTGAATTCGGCTGCATCACAGTTCCACTGCCTTTTTTACCATAAGAAGTCTTGATTGCTGGTTCCTCCTCTTTCTATTTCTATCGCATTCCAAAATGCACTTGATCGCCAGCTCCACAGATGCTTGAAGGCATTGGGTTACGATGCATTCTTCTGGTCTGTTCTATGAAGTTTCGTTTCCTGCCCTAGCTGTTCCTCATCATTGTCATATTGCTTCTTCCTTGAGCCTTGTTCTTAGTCTGGTTATATCACCACCCGAATTCGATGGGAATTCTACCTGTAACCTGCCATTTCAATCAATGTAGTATCCGTCTACTCTTAACCATCTCTTCAACTATTATGAACCTTTCAGCTCCTATCCTGAAGAGACATTGCCATCCTGGTAGTACTAACCTTTTCCCACTCTTAGAATTAGAAGATCTTGATGTTTCAGTATCTCCAATTGTATGAAAAGTAGAGCATCATTGAAAGAAACCCAAGTCCTCTACATTCCTTTTGGTCCGCTAATTTTCTCTATTTTGCCCAGTGTATCCTCCGTTTTCCTTGGAGTTTCTTTGAACAGCCATACCTTCAAATTCACTGAATATTGCTAAAAGTCCTGAATGAGCACCATTCATGGACAGCTGAGATTCATCTATGCATTGTACTTTCCCTGTATCAGCTTTACAGAAAAGGGGAGTTACTCATAAGCAAAAAACATATCAGCAATTTCTCAGAACATCACGGCGAACCATTACACAGACCGCAATGAAGGGTACAAGAAACATGTTGCCAAAAAATGTGAGACCTAAATGCTCATGGATCTTATGGACAACCTATCATCAGCTGCTGATTGATACTAATACTGGTCAATTGGTGAGGGAGAGTTATTACACACTTTGGCATAAGGTTTCCAAATATGAATTTGCTTTCCTCGTTTCCGTTGTACATGTCATGCCAATGCTTTGATTTCTTGAATGCTTGTCGTGGAACCTCAATATTCTTCACCATTTTAAATTGTTCCCATGGATCAATAGGAAGTTCGGAGCAATTTTGCTCTCTGTAAGCTTTCTTAATTCTCAAATCAGCTACCAGCGCGACATGATCAGATGACCATTGAGGTGTAGGCAGTAGCCTCTTCTTTCCTATGCTTTCATAAAAAGGTATTTCAAACACTCCATCAACTTTCAACTTATTTTGAGGATAAAAAATGTAGTCCAATGTCTCATGTTGGTGTGCATTTGGTGTCCCTGAATATGCACTGGTCAGATTCATGGAATGATTCAATTTAAGATGTCTGGATATCCCTAAAACGTCTTTCTTTTCCTGTCTATAATAACCAACTTTACCTTCCAGAAGATAAGTATGAGTATCGCTTCCTGGAGCAGAGTTCATGTCACCACAAACTAAAACAGGAATCCCCAAAGAATCAATTCTTTTGAGCCCTTTAATCAGATTAACCACTTGAAACAATCTAACGTCTGACACACCCTTCCCACCAGTTAGATGGGTATTCGCAACACATATTCTCGAATGAAAATTGTTGATTTCTTCAAGTATCGCTACGGTGGCAATGTTATCCTTCATAAGACGACTTCTAGCGAGGCCCCTTTGTTCATATTTTAGCCGACTAATCATCAGTTCTGCAATTCTATCATATTCAACTTCATAAGTTTTAACCAATTTGAACTTGTCGCGGCGAAAAAATGTGGCACATCCGTCAGTTACATATTTTGCTTTACTATCAGATAACTCTTTCGTCTTTCCCTTATAAATTGACAAGTATCCGAATCTAGCAAGTTCGGGTTCAAAAAAATCCTTGTAGTGATCACTCTGAACTTCTTGAAGACACAAGATGTCAGCCTCATAAGAAAGTATCTCCCTTAATAAATTCTGGCTACGGTATTCCCATGTAACTTTATCTCGAGGGCAGTAACTATAACTATCTCTACCGCTATTAACATAAATATCTGCCAGTAAATTGTAAGACAAAACTCTAAAACCGCCATTTTTAACGACTGAATGTGGTTTCCCTAACCTTTTAAGTCCGGAGATTGTAGGGATGATTCTACGAGAAGAAGGGCTTAAAGTCAAGGGCCTAACCGGACTAGTGACAAGAATAAATGTGGAAGACATTTTAACTCCATAAGAATTAACTGCATAAGATACTAACCTCAGACAATGGCCGACATCATCATTTGTCGGAACATAACTGGGTGAAGATCCCACCACGGTCCAAAATTTTGGCTGGTCCAGATGAAGTTGTGTGGCTGCCGAAGAAGCCATTCCTATGAAGCCCTTAATTTCTCTGGACCAAGTAAACATGATTTTACAATCGGGGGGACTAATGTTTGTACCGGCGTAATACACAACGGAATTTGGCGTCAACTTGACTCCAACCTCCGGGAATGGATTAACAGAGGAAGTAAAACCAATTTCGAGATGCCAGGGATCCATTGCTACTGGATCAAAAGATACACAAATCGAACAAAATATACACTCACGAGTTTATTTTTTCTATACTTCAAAAAACACCTTAGACTAACCTATTTCGAATATCGCAGGTTGCTCGCTTGTGGTGTATATTTATGTAGAAGTCAAGGCGGGATTGAGAAAGCTTTTTGGATTAATGTTTCCAAAACCCAAATCAGAATTGGATTAATTACCAAAAGTATGTTGGATTGGGACTTATCAATATTGTTTGTATCCTATTTCCAATTTATCTCGGACATCACTTTTTTGCTTCTACGTTTTTTTCGCCCCTTTTGTGTTGACGACTGGAATTGTAAATAATGAGTAAATTGGTTTTCAAAAGAGGCAATTTTTCTTAAAAAATGTTTCTTGTTTTCAAAGTAAATTTTTAAAGAAGTTTGAAGCAGATGCTATGAAGCCAGTTTTATCATTTAAAGGCAATTTAGCAATATCAGAGTAGACTGAACCCACATGCCAAAAACTTTAATAAACCTGATATATATAGAAGGAGGGACTAATATTGTGTGAATTCCTTGCGCTTAACCAGAACAAACTGATGGGCAGTTTTCCCAACACGGGTAAAATCTAGTCTCTGAAAACTTTCAAGCTTGTGAGGGAACTTGCCGAAGATTTCATCTGTCAACTTTGGACCAAAATGTTCACAGACAATGCCTTCCAGGAGTGCTCTATAATGTACATTCAAAATCCGTATATCAATACAGGGTGGAGACCGTATTTCTTGCAGCTGTTCAATGGTCAGATACTGATCAAAGGAATCCAACACTTGTTGAACTTCAGATAGTGTCGGAAAGAAGACCGGAACATTGAACGAATCCACTAAATCTTCTCCAATTACGCCCTGACTAGAGATCCAAAAAAGACATTTCATTCAAACACTCTTAAATAGCTAAAAAATGAATGTTGAATATTAAGTATCTCTTTGAGTAGATCAGAAACTGCATCACCTAAGCATTCGATGACATTAACAGGAATCGCCTCGGGAGGCAATGTACCCTCAGGCCTGCCCAACATTAAGATTGCGAATAATCCACCAGGAACTAGTTCCTCTGATCTGGCTTTCAGGAAATCTTCCAAGTCACTGAAAAATTGATCTCCGAAAGCATTGACCACCTGAGTGGGACTCTTCGCATATGTGATTCTTTCCTTGTTCCAGGAAGGGGAGTCCTTGTTCATAACTCCCTCAGGGACCCTTCGGAGCCAATGAAGCGAGCTGGATGAATGGATTAAGTTCATCGATGATTTTGGGAAAAGCCGGCCGTAGAAAGAGCCTGGAACTCCAGCTGCCATGTATTGCCTATCTGAAGGAAGTGCTTTGAACAGGGTATTGAAATCATTACCGACTTGATAGTTGAAGAAGACATGGAACTCAGGGATTTCAATTTCATCTCCGACCTGAGTATTGTACTTGTGTTTGACTGCTTCTATCATGTTATTAACGCAAGAAAATGCATTCGGCCCTGTAGAGCAGCCAAGATCTGCTATGGAGAAAATCTTTGGTCGATTTTTTCATATCAAGTGACTCTTCAATGCTGTTCATCAGGTGGACCTTAGCACTTTCCAAAACTCTTTGCTGTGATGAAAATAGATGTAAGCAATTGTTTGTGCGAAAATAATCAATAGGAACTGACGCACGCTTGCAAAAAATATCAAACGAAAATGTAATTCGTGAGATCCAATATTCGGCTAGGCATGAAAAAGAAAAGGGATAAAGCTTGTAACAACTTGAATAAAACTGAATTGAGGATAAATATGAACTTAAACGAAATACAATGAGTAAATCGAATGGAAAAGACTTGTGAAAAAAAGAGTACTTGAAAAGAAAATAGGGTATTGAAAAGAAAGACAAGAGCTTTGCAACTTGTGTTTGTGTGTGTGTTGATGATGATTCTTTGTGTCGCTCTATTCTTTCTCTTTATATAGGGCTCGGTAATCGTCTAGGGTGGTGCGATCTCCGATTCCTACTCGAACTCGGTATTGCCGATTTAGAATTACAATTGACTTGTGTTTCCGATTTCTTATTTCTTGCCGTAAATTGTAATTCTTCTTGGACTTGGATTTGGCTTTCTCCTGCGCCGTGTTGGGCTTTCGACGCGTTTCCTTTCACCAATTCGAGCATGGACTCCGTTATTCCGTGTCGGACATGGACTTCTTGCAATACTGGACCGATTTACCACTTTTGTTTGGCTGACTCGATTTTCAATTAAAATGGGTGGTAACATAAAGCCCCCCAAGACACAGCTCATTTGAATGTGGTGTGTCTTGAATATTCATTGAGTCAACAATAAATTGGCCTAATAAACAATAGCCCAAAGATGAAAAATGGTAAGCCTCAACTGAATAATAGTAATGAAGGTGCTGCGAATGGTGAATGGTGAATGGTGCTGTGTCGGTCCAACCTCTTTGTCATAATCGTAAGCCTCAACTGAATTCGTTTGGGCGGTGAATGATGCTGTGTCGGCACTGATAATTTCTGGACCGTTCGTTCTCCAAAGAATAATAGCTTGGTGTAAAGAAGAAGGCATACAATAGGCTGAATGGATCCAGTCACGGCCTAATAGCACATTGTAAGATGCTTTCGTATCTACCACAAAGAAAGCAGAAACAATGGATTGTGACCCAACAGTGACTTCCAATGGCAAGATTCCTCGAATACTGGTAACGTCGCCAGTGAACTACTAACAAAGATCTCTGTCGAGACCAAATCTTGCATGTGCTTGCCTAACTGGCACATTGCGGAGAAGTGTAAAACATTAATAGCTGCGCCATCATCCACCAAAATCCGCTTCAAAGGAACACCATCCATGGTAGCACAAATGAATAGAGGACGAATATGAGTAATAGCCGTGTCACTCGGCTGTGTAAGCATAACAATGGGCGACTGTCCAGGCCATTCTACTATCTGAATTACATTTTTCTTGGTGTCCTCTGGAGTCGTCGATGGTGTAGAGGAATCAACATCAAAGGTGTCAATCATTTCAGCATCTGTATTGGATAGTGGTGGGTCAATGACTGGCGTGTCAGAGGTCATACAAAATGTCCGTGGCAATACATAAACCATATTAACTGATGGATTATGATCAGCTACTTTGTGCCAATATTGCCTCTTGGAAAGATGGTTTCATTGTTTAGGCGGTGGCCTTAGCGACATCTTTGATTGGCGACACAACTGTATATCTTTATAATAACTAGCTCTCAACCATTGCCAACGCCGTTTCTGAGTATGAGTAAGTCCTGATGGGAACAACTGGGAATTTCTGATGTTGGTTATGATGCCAATGAGTGTCACTAACCACTTTTGGCTTAACCATTCTAGGATTACACACAAGAGTCGGTGTTCTTGGTTTAGATAATCGATCCCATACTGATGTTCCGGCAGAGTCAGATGATTTCTTTGACTTAGGTATGGTTTCTTGTGTTCACACTGGTATAGGCTGAAATCCCGAGGGTATCGTAGGTGCATGCCCATGAAGAGGAATGCCAATACTAGATGGTTGGACTTTTGTGGGCAAAACTGGATGAGTTTATGGGACTAGTGGTGATATAAGATGGTGATGATGGGGTGTCATTTGTTGAAGATGATTTTGTAGAATCTCGCTTGGTGCCGGTTTGTGAACCCATGTATGTGGATGACCATCTACCATGATAGTGACTTCTTGCTGTTGTACCGGCTGATGATAATGCCTGCCAAACCGCTGCTCTAACTCTGTCAAGTGATGCTTGAATCCACCGAGAACTGCATCACATTGCAAACAACCTGTAGTGTTACATGCCACAGGTATGTGACTATTCAAGACAACATTGTTCATGCGAAGTGAGTGTTCTGTGGGAAACGGGTTAACGTTTATCTTAACTGGATCATCGACTTTAACTTTTCCCTCATCGATCATCTTTTGTAAGTAGTTTCGGAAAACTACACAATCGTTTATACTATGTGTCCATGAGATATGATACTTGCAATATGTTTTCCCAACAATTTCAGATGGTATCGGCGGCCGGTAGCCTTTTTGATATCGTACATGGCCAGTCTTTATCACATCATCAAAAATTTCTTCTTGTTGAGTAATATCGAAAGAATAAACTTTAGCAGAGGCCGCGTCGGATGTTTTAGCCGTTCCTGAGGAAGCTATCCCATAAGAATACGCCTGTGACATAACTGGCCTTCGCAATGCCTTGCATGTATATTCTTTTAAATTGATAATTTCTGCAGCATTGACACTATCCCAAGGTCGATCTTAATCATCGGAGAAACTCCAAGCAACATTATTAATTTTTGCAACAGGTTCTTTATGAAACCAAGACTTTGGTTTAGTTGGCTTTACTACTCCTTTTGCTCAGATAACCTTTTCAGTGTTATGAACGACTTCCATGAGCTGTATCAAGGAACGGATTGGATGTGACGTTACTGCCAACTTCAATTTGAAGTATTGAATGACTGAGATCGCCATCTTTACTATGGTAGATTCCTCATATTTATCAGAGGTAACCCCTAGTATCTTTGCGTGCATCTGTCGGAACCTAGCAAGATATGGTTCAGCTGTTTCGCCTAGTTTCTGCTGGACTTGTGACAAATCAACGATCGACAATCTTGGTGTGGTACGGTGGAAATTGTGAATAAATACCCACTTTTGGGCATTCCAATCAGCAACAAATCCTGGTTCTAAAGTATGGTACCGGTCTAATCCTATTCCAGCTAATGAATAATGAAATAATCGTAACTTCAAGAAAGGATTATGCCCAGCTTCACCACATTCTAATTCAAAGTGGCCAATATGATCTTTAGGCTGTTGATTATCTTCTGAAGTAAACTTCTTAAAATTTGGCATTTTGTAATTCTTTGGCAGACGTTCAAACTCAACATATTCTGGATACGGCTTTCCCATTACTTCAGGAACCTCTATTCCTAATTCCTTGCGTACCATATCTTCCACCATTATTTTGAAACCAGCTTCAGTAGTAAACGCAGGTGCGGTCTCTTCTTCTTGAGCAAAACCATCTTGTCGGAAGTCTCTCTCAGGTTCTTGATAAAGCTGTGCGTCCGGTTGATTTTCCCTTTGTGGATTTCTAGCATCTCTTCTCCGAGTATTGTTCCTTGCCCGAGTCCGATTCTATGCCTGATTTGCTTCATACTCAATCCATTGTTGTTCTTCCAGCAATTCTTCTACCGTAGGAACGTGTCTTGGCAAAATTCGCGGTACAACTTCTTGCTATCCTCCTTGTTCCGGGACTACAATCCCTACTCCCTGCCATGGTGTCCTTTGAGAAGTCGGCATATTATTAGTCAAGTTTCCCTGGTGATTACCATATGTGATAAACCTTTGGTCATTGTTCGGGAGAGGTTTAGCTGTAGGCGATGTATTGGCTACCACTGGAACCGGCCGAACATTCACTGGAGTTAGTATGGCTTGAGTTTGTGCACTTTCAATATTCTGAGTCAAACCGCTCTGCCCACCTAGAGGATTTGGCAGAATTACAGGTCTTGGTGGTGGCACTATTCCTCTTGGAGGAATAAAACTTCCTGTTAGTGAATAACCGGTAACTCTTGGTGGCCATCTCATAGCCGAAACAACTGGTGTAGTCCCATAATTAGATGCTGACCCTTGGGAATTTTCATAATACGGTAATGACCGACCATCAAAGGTAAAATTTTTGACTGGCGGGATAAAAGCCGACTGACTTGGTTCAGCGTGCTAATACCAACTAGGGTTTGGTATCGGTGTATTTTTTGGAACCACTCCTGCTTGACTTATTCCACTGACTGACAACCCTTGCACCAGTGTTGATGAATTAGAAAACAGAGGGTTATCATAAGTAAGTGCTGTAGAGGGATTCAACAGCGATACCCTTAATGATGCATCGGGGGTTATAGGTGGAGTTTCGGGTGCCACGCCGCCATTAGGGTCAACCTTTTGAAGAGACTGCTCTAACGCCGGGATACGAGCCAGCATGCTTATGATGGTATTATTCTATTGGCCTATAATGATTTGCTCAAGACTATTACGCCGATTCTTTAGTACGTCCCCATTGGTCTAACCCTAATTGAGCGTTAATCCATGTTGTTCTATGTTCCACAGTTTGTTCCACGCCTTGATTGTGGTGACTTTGAGAGTGATAGGAACCTCTCAACACCTGTTCTAGATTTAGATTCACCGGTAGAATCGATATTCCTGTCGACAGCAACGGGAGTGTTGGGGTTATTCCTGCTTCTCCGGTTGATTTCGCCGCCTCTGTTGTTGACGGATTGTAGGAAGTAACTCTCGTTTGAACATAAGTTGTTGTTGTTGTTGTTGTTGTTGTTGACATAGCTTAAAACCTGGTCGAGACACGCAAATCAGTCCCACTGGGCGTGCCAATTATATTTGTGCATAAATAATCAATAGGAACTGACGCACGCTTGCAAACAATATCAAACGAAAGTGTGTAATTCGTGA